CCGGAAAATTTATGCATTTGCCATTTGTGCAGTTTATTACATGCGTTCCCTGAATAAAATTATGCGTTTATTTTTTTTTTATTTTTTATTTTGCGAAGCAGATTGCAATCAGTGTGGGAAGGGATTTTTTTTAAACGTTAGATGAAGGATGCGCTGATGTGGATATTTATGAGAGAAGCGATGAATATGCGAAAAATCTATAAAATAATTAAATATTAATGTATTTCACTCAAATTCTGTTAAGTAGACAGTGTTCTGAATTTTAATGTATTCAAATTCCTTTTTAAACAAAAATTTAGAAATGAAAAACAGTGCAAAAAGTTTATTTTTTGAATAGTAGTGGAGTTGGGGAAGCAAATTTGGTATGCTTGCACCAAGTTTGGATACTCTTACTTTTATAGACTCTGTGATCTGGTGTTTCAAATGAACAAATGCAATATAAACCGATTCGTCTGATGATGCTCATCTATAATATAAACTTTCAACAGGGAAGAAGATACATACCTCCTTTTGCAGTCTATCAAATTTTCGTTTGGTAAAAAGATCATTTTAAAATATAAATAATACTATAATAAAATATGTAAGCAATTGCAATTAGTAGTAAGCTGTGAGTACTTAAGATTAAAAGGCCTTGATTTGTCTGTATATCTATTTATTAATAAGATTCGCTTGACTTCTTGCCGACTACCTAGCTTCCTTTATATCATCTAAAAAGATCATTAATTTCTCCACCAAAGCATCAATATTTTATAGTACACAATGGATCGATTCATGATTGATCGTTAAAAGTTGAGGAAGAAGAAACACATAATAACGATGCGTTGATGTCCTTGGAAATGGCAAAACTTTTGACTTGAGTATCAGAACCGTTTTATTACTTTTTTGCAACACAAATTTAAGAGAACCGAGATGTGCGATTACTCCCCGCTCTCTCTTCCCTTTTTCTCCCTGAGCAATTTTTTTAAAAAATCCTGCGGGAAGGTCAGCGAAATTTTATTTTTTATTTTGCTCACATCTGAACAAGCACAGAGCACAGCATCGCGGCCTTTATCCTTTGTGGCACATAGCTACCCCTTTCCTTGATGTCCGTGACAATGACAGGCCTTTTGCCAAAATGTAGCATTTATAACGACTTCAAATCGCAGAGTTTTCAACGAAAATAAAGCGAATAAAGGGTTGATGCGTGAGCTGTGCGCCGTTGTTGCAAGTCCAGCAGCCCAGCCGGTGATGCCCTACTGTGCCTGTATATTTTTATACATTATGTACAACTCTAGACCAGAGTTTGTCAAGCCTTCCCTCGTCAAGATCCCGAATCGCAAATCAACTTGCCGAGTGACCGAAGGCGACTTCTTAATCACACGCACGTGTCCCCAAAAGGATGTGCTGACAACGACAACCAAAACAAACTGGCGTGCCGGTGGTCAAGCGGTCGCCGAGGGGTTAACTGCTGCTGGACACGCGTCCCGGTCCCGAGAATATCAACAAAAACACACAATGAAAATCCACCAAAATGTAAATGTGGAAATGGCCTGTGGTCAAGGGCTGGCCGCAAAGCGATTCGGACAAACTGGTTTTCTCCGGAAAAACGTCACCCGGAAAATTGTGTGAAAATGCGGAAAGCAACAGCTTACTCTATAATTAAGCGGTTAAGCTTTGGGCATCAGGAATTCAATAACTGCAGGGGATGGGCAAGCGATTTGCCAAGATAATAAATATTTAAAATTATTAATTGCATTTTTAGGTAAAAAGTTAAGCCTCTTAAATAGATTAGGAGCGTATAGATATTTGTTTAGTAATATATTTTATTACCATTATTTATCCTTATTTTGTATAGGTAACTAAAATTTACGAAATCATAAATAGTTTGCTCTGAAAATCTAGAAATTTTAAGCAACACAATTTTTAACATTACTTCCATTATATCAATAATATTTTTCGTATGACATTAAAACAGACTTGAATTAAGTGCGATATTCCGTATCCTGGAATTTTTATTACTTACCGTATTATTACTCACTGCTTTGGGATTTCCAATTTCACTTTTTAACAAAGAAAAGTTTCCAATTTTCAAAAACCCAGCCTCGATCGATCGACGCCCCTTTAACCCGATTGAAACCCTATACAGCCATCGATCATGATCGCGCTTCCTTCCGCAAAAAATTCCCACAGTGCAAAAAATCGGCGAAGGATTGCGATTGAGATTAGGAAAAGGAACGGATCGCAACGAAAAAGGAAATTTACGAGCGATCAAATAACCGAGGCCCAGGTATCAAAGGGTGCAGAATCTCCGGCAAGAGGTCCTGCTTCGGGTTCAAATGTGTCACGTCTTATGATGTCACTGCTGGCAAAGCTGCAGCGGCAGCAACCCCAAAGGCGGAGATAGTCATCAGACTTCCTCGTCTTGGTCTTCGCCTCCGTCCTCATCCTGACCCTGATCCTTGCCGGGTTCACAGTAAATTACGCGCAGAGGTGAAATGCAAACAAAGACGGTCCAAAGGTCTGCCTTGAGGTCTGTCTGCAACCCTTGCTCTCCTTGCCGATTTTCCAGCCTTTTCCCCCTTTTTCTAGCGCTCCTTTTTTTTTGTGACGAATCTAATGATTTTTGCCTCAAACTGAAGCGATTTTTCATTGACCCAGCGGAGGGGTGGGTTCAGAGTTCGTCTTGGCTGAGTCTGAGTCTCTGTTATGCCAGCTTGAACTGCTAAATGCGTTCACCCGTGAAGACTCCGCGCCAAGGAGAGGTCCTGGTTTTTGGGTCATTGCCGCATTAAGCTGAATTTATGGCCATCGACTGCCAATAGTCATGCAGATTAATAGGGGAAGGGGGTGCTCAGAGGTGAGCCATCCAAGACACGGTCTTTGTTCTATATTCAATGGGTCAGGCAAAGGGTATAGACGGGTCGAGATCAATAATTTAAGTGAAAATTGTGCAAAAAATATATATTATTATACAAAGGAATGACTCTGCTAAATTTCAAACGACTAAAATAAGGACTTTTTAAATTCTAAAGCATTGTTGATGAGTATCTTTCAATCTTAGAAACAAGAGATTGACAGTTCTTTAAATGAATAAATAATAAAATAAACATAAAAGTTTATGCAAGTTATTAGGTTATTTAGTAAAACTTGTATTGTTCAGTCAGTGAATTACGAACCACATCTCATTTTTCCACTGCATCAGGCAAATCTCTGCCACAATATCAAACACTTTAACCATAAAAATTAGATTCATCAAAGCAAAAAAAACGAATAAGGGAAAAAAGGGAAAATGGACCAAATATGAACAGACTTTTCACTCATCCACTGAACATGCAAATGACCGTTTTGCGAGGATAACAATGCCCCGGATCTTTCAAAATAATTTGATGCTACATTTGTATGCTGCACTGTATGGATGGACAGGGGCAGGAACAGGACCAGAAAAGCTGGATCAGGGGCAGAAGGGGCTGTATGGAAATTGGGAGTAGACCAGCACGCTGACCCGAAATTATAAAGTTACAATAGCGCCGGGCGAGGCAGAAACCCTTTGCTACCCCCGAACGAATCGAATTACAGCGAATACGCTGGACCAAGGAGCGGGAACCGACCCTTGGACAGCGCTACGTTGTCAACTGCTCTGGATCTGGTGGGCTTGTTAGCTGTGCCGCCCTTCGGGGTTACGGCGTTTGTTTGGGCATTCAAATTGGTCGAGGATTTGACCGAACAAATCCCTTCGGCGCATGTGCAGCAGGATTAAATGTTGGACTCTGTGCAGCTTTCGATGCAAACTGGTTTTGGATTTCCTATGCCCCGGGATGCTGCACGGTGACCCATCCATCCTTCCATCCATCAAGGTACGTGGACCCTGCTGAGGGCGAAAACAACAAGTCATTTGAAGTTTTAATAGATGCTGCATCCTTTTGTAGGGAAAGTAGCTAAAACTGGTTCCAACCCTTTCGTCCAAACGGATATTTTATTTTAATTTTACTTCCTTCAATTCGAGCCAGTTTTCCCTGGGAAAAGTCTTGTGCGATGCCTGCCCTTTTTTACAAGAATTTTTACAATTTATTTTGGTAGAATTTATCTCCTGCCGCTTAATGGGTACTTTGGGTTATGGCATCTTGAGAGAGTTTTGGGAAAATAAAAAGGCAAAATTCATAATTGTACAGACAATAAAAACAGGCCATCAATTACCAAGGGATCTTGTGAATACTAAACTAGGATACAAAACTTTAAATAGCAATTGAAAGAGAAGGCAACAAAGGAAAGATAAAAACCCAAATTTGCCACGCGTCAATAATGCAGCTTCAACCCTTACACGCACTTCAACTGACCGCTGGTCTTCACCCAAAAAACTATCACTGCCATTGTTTCCACCCTTTCCGCCTCTCGGCGGACAGGGGTCAATATGCGGCACGCGCGAATGGTCAGGAATCCTGCATCCTGCAGCCGCCAGTATAAGCGATGGCAAACAAAGCGAGGATTTCAATTTGCAAAAACAGATATTATGCTTTCATTAAGCGCGCTTTGTTATGTAAATCACAAAAATTATTCACCGCCAACAAGAGCAAAATGTCAGTGATGAATGACCAGGAATCGGAAATTAAAATAAAAAATATAACCCAATTTTATATACAATTTTAAGTAATATATTTTATTTTTAATTGCCTAGTAAGCAGTGAATAAGTGTGCTAAATTATTATCTTAAAACTGGGCTACAAAATTAAATCGACCTAATGTCCTTTTAATAAACAAAAACAAATATTCATATTAATAGACGTTTTAGCTACTAATGAAACTACATTTTTATAAATTAAAATATTACAATATTATGTTTCAATTAAATTGTTTTATTTATATTTGACCTTTGCTTTGCAATTTGGATTACAATATTAGTTTTTTATAAAATCCCGCCAATGATTTAAATATAAATAGTGTTGAAAAGTGGTTTCAAGCGGAATTTCTGGCAACGCCAATTTCATGGGAGTTCCGGCAGCACAGCACGCTAGTCACTTTAGGAGACCTGGCCACACTGAAATATTGGAATAAACAGAATTTAAGTTTATTTATTTAATGTTTTTAAGCATGTACAAAGTATAAAAATCAATGAAACCAATTATTATTAGATATTTATGGTGAGCATAAAACGGCGGTCACCGAGTTATGAGACATTTCTCACATATGGTCTTCAATTGGCTAAAACTTAGATTTCACCATGGATGAGACGAACAATAATAACACGCAGTTAGTGGAAAAAGAGCCGGTAAAATGCGCTGAAAAACGAGTCAATACTACCTTAGAGAACCAGGAAACCAAGAGACTGAAGACAGACAACGACCATCATGTGGAAGCCGCGTCCCGTCCACCTCCCCAGAGCCCAAAAAAGCGGCTACAACTTAATGGGAAGCCCAAGCACAGCAAGGATCTAAACTTTATGTACGGCAACTATAAGCACTACTATGGCAAACGAATTCTGGATAAGGAGTTCCACGACATTCGCCTGGACATACTGGGCTCCCAGCCGGAGTTGTTTCGCCACAAACAGCTCCTGGACATCGGCTGCAACTCCGGCCATCTGTCAATCCAGATAGCACGGAAGTTCGAAGTAAAAAGCCTCGTGGGCCTGGACATAGATCGCAGTCTGGTCAAGGACGCACAGACCACCATTAACCAGCTGAAGCGCCAGGCCGAACCTGGGTCTGGCCAGGGATTCCCCCACAACATACGTTTCGTGCAGGGGAACTATGTGCTAGAGGACGACATACTGTTGGAGATCGAGCGACCGCAGTTCGATGTTATACTCTGCCTGTCGGTCACCAAGTGGATCCACCTCAACTTCTGTGATGCCGGCCTGAAGCAGGCTTTCCGCCGCATGTACCAGCAGCTGCGCCCTGGAGGCAAGCTAATCCTGGAGCCCCAGTCCTTTGATGGCTACAAGCGACGCAAGAAACTATCGGTGAGTGTGGATACCAACTTAATAAATAAAAGCTTCTTTCAATTTTACATACTAATTTAATTAAACTCCATTTTTCCAGGAACAAATTAGGGAAAACTACAATTCCATTAAATTCCGCCCTGAAGAATTCACCGAATATCTATTGAGCTCAGAAGTAGGCTTTGCCAACATGGAACTCATGGGCACTCCCGACCACTGCGAGGCCGGATTCAAGCGTCCCATTCAGATCTTCACCAAAACGTGAAGATTTCGTGATAAAGGAGAAAGGGAATTTAGCTGTGATTTGTTGGTCAAATATACAAACTTTAATAAATATGAAAACAGAGATGAGATCTTGCTATAATTTTTGTTAAGTTGAACGTTTATTTTTATTGGGCGAATTCGGAACCTTCTCCAAGATGTCTGGCAGCTGCTTGAGCAACTCCTCGGCTGTAAGCTTAAAGTCGCTGTCTGCCCAAAGGATCTTCAGTTCGTTTAAAACGAATCCAAGACGTATGCCTTTAAGGCCGTGGCCACTTAAAACATTTCCCTTTATGGGAAAATCCGGCTTTACCCAGGCCTTGAGCTGATTATAAAGTTCCACTTTATTTGAGTACTTTAACAACTGCTCGACGTAATCACGATTGACGTACTGTTGCAGGCACAGCTTCTGGTAGTCACGTAGAGTTGTGTATTCCGTATCGACCTGGTGGTTTAGTTTAAAAATGATTTGATTTTCAAATTAATTGAACGATTATGTGTGCGACGTTACCTTTTCCCGCTCCTGGGAGATGAAGCGAGCCAAATCCCGTTCATAGGCAGACAGCTTCAAACGCTTGTGTAAAGCCATGGCATCCTCCACAGAGTGTAGCAGTCCAGACATGTACAAAATGGGATAATGCGGCTTTTCAAACTGCTCCAGGACGCCGCACAAACGCTGGAACTCCTCCAAATTGGGATTTTCAGGGAGCCCGATGTGCTCGAAAAGCTTGCAACTATGGATCTCCAGTAGTAATTCGGATCCAAAATTGCCAACCACTATCTTTTTAAGCTCCATCCAAATGCGTTCGCCGCTAATCCTAGCCAAACCTTCGGCATTCTCTTTAATAGCTGCCAGAGTGGCCTCATCGTGGTTGTTAGCATCCTTGGCTATGCGCCCGTAAAAACGAAAGTAACGCAGGATACGCAAGTAATCCTCTTTTATGCGAATGTCTGCCTCGCCAACGAATATCACACGGCGCTCCTGCAGATCGTCGTAGCCAAAGAAGTAGTCGTACACGGTGCCATCGAAGCCCAGAAACATGGAGTTGATAGTCAGGTCGCGACGGTTCGCGTCCAGTTGCCAGTCGGTGGTGTACACAACATCTGCGTGCCGGCCATCGGTGCGGATATCAATGCGCAGTGTTGTCACCTCGAAGTTCTCCTTGTCATTGATCCGGGGCGTAATGGTTCCGTGCTTTTCGCCATTCGCGTTAATCATCCGCACCTCCTCCTTTTCGAACATAGCCTTCATCTGGTCCGGAGTTGCGGTGGTGGCAAAGTCAATGTCTTTTGGCGGAATACTCATCAGAATGTCACGAACAGCGCCGCCAGCGATCCGCAACTCGTAGTTGTACTTCTTGAACAGACCCACCAGTGCCTCTAGCTCGGGCGTGAATATGCTCCTGAATTCGGGTGTGTCTACCTTTCGGAACGCTGGATTCTGGCGCATCCTGGGAGCTTTTCCCAGCTGGGCGATCGCCTCCGGAGAGACTTCCCGGGCTCGAATTGGACTCGGCGCCATGCGGCTGCCCTGACGGAGGCTTAGCGAAAGGGAGGCGAATGCTTGTGTGGTCAGTTGGACGAGGTGACGTTGGCCATACATCGATAGGAACAGACAAACAGTAAAATCGTATCCTATTCCTCAATTTGTGTTGTTAATTTTAACCAATAATAAAAATCCTCTTTCGAGTGCAAGTGTGACCAGACTGCGGAAACCTCGTTGCATACCCTATATTGGGAGAGTATATTGGTTTGTTGATACCCAGAAACGTTATATTATCTGATTTATTTAAGACTACTTTGAATAAATCTTTTTAAAACCTTCACAATTTGACTATTATAAGAAGTATAATTAAAAATATCATTTAATATAGAAAAGAATAAATTTATAAGTAATAAACCATTTGTTTCAATTCAATAAAAATCATAACCTAATCGAGGCTTGATCGATCCCCTAAAATTAAAACATATATTAAAAACATAAACAAAGCTTTCATAGGAGGTGATCTTAGGGTATCCCACAGTCGATATTCTTAGCTTACATATAATTTCTTAGTAAAATTTGGTCACACTGATAGAAACCTGTTACATTGTTTACCTCTTCGCTGAAATTTAAACCAATGCCACCGCGATTGCCGATCGCAAGGGTCAGAAACTTCTTGCAGCTAGGACTAAGAACTAGAACGATGAGCTCCCAACCAAGTGTGTACGTTACCCGTCCGGATGTGGATGCCAGCGGACTGGAGTTGCTGCGTAAGAGGTCTGTTTGTGTACCGGCCAATTAGCATATTTAATATTAATATCCATAACATTTGACAGCTGCCAGGTAAGTACCTGGAGCGAGACCCTGCCTGTGCCCCGGGCCGAGCTGATCCGCCAGATAGCCGGAAAAGACGCCCTGTACTGCGCCCTGACTGACAAGATCGACAAAGAGGTGCTGGATGCTGCCGGTTCCCAGCTGAAATGTGTGTCTACCATATCGGTAGGCTATGAGCACATTGACGTGGAGGAGTGCAAGAAACGTGGCATTCGAGTGGGTTACACACCGGACGTGCTGACTGATGCCACTGCAGAATTGACTGTTGCCCTCCTACTGGCCACCAATCGGCGCCTGTTTGAGGCCAACAAGCAGGTGTTCAACGGCGGCTGGAAGTCGTGGGCCCCCATGTGGATGTGCGGCCAGGGTCTAAAGGGGTCCCGGGTCGGACTTCTCGGCTTCGGACGCATCGGGCAAGAGATAGCGGCACGCATTTTACCCTTCAAGCCAGCGGAGATAACCTATACGACCCGCTCGCCACGCCCGCAAGAAGCGGCGGCAGTCAATGCCCGGCACGTGGACTTTGAAGAGATGCTGCGCAACTCTGACTTTATCGTTGCCTGCTGCGCCCTGACTCCACAGACCAAGGAGATCTTTAATGCCGCGGCCTTCCAAAAGATGAAGTCCAACTGCATCTTTATCAACACGGCGCGCGGCGGTGTCGTGGATCAGCATGCATTGTACGATGCTCTGAAGAACAACACAATCCAAGCTGCTGGGTTGGACGTGACCACACCAGAGCCCCTGCCCTTGGATGACCCTCTTCTCAAGCTGGACAATGTGGTTATTCTGCCGCATATTGGCAGTGCTGATATTGAGACACGGAAGGAAATGTCTCGTATAACGGCTAGAAATATATTAGCCGGGCTGGTTGGCGAGAAGATGGAAGCTGAGGTAATACTGTAGATGCAAAGATAGCCTGGCTCTGCTAGAATTGCTGATTATATATAACCTTATTGGGTATAAATGTTAATAAAAGGTCAAAAAGTAATGAACGAACTATGGGAAATATCATTGAAAATTGAAAATAACCATAATAAAATATTGAAAGTACTCAGAGTCCGGTATGAGCCAGGCGGTTATGTAAACCAAGTAAGCAAAATACATTAGAATTGAAAAGCCTTCTAAAGGGAAATTAGAATGAGCCATTTAAATCATAATTTAATCTTATTTATTGGATTGGAGAAGTCCAAGGCCAATCAAAACAATTAAGCTGCGGCTGCGGCTAATCCTCGCCAGGCGGCAACGGTTGATTAAGATCGCTGCTGGGTGGCGGAACAGGTTGCGGCGCTAATGATGTCAAAACGGGAACTGTAGAGATGACGCCAATTTCCTCAGGATCCTGAACCTCTTTTTTAATGTGCTCAGCGCTGATGTAGCCGCCACTTTCGTCCTGAAAAAAAAAACAAGTTAACAGTATTTCGATCAATTCAAAACCTTACTTCAATTTTGATAGTTACCGTGACGAATACATCCACCGCCTTCCCGGATATGATGTCCAGCACCTGCTGGGTGATTCCACTTCCGTTCATCGGCTCATCCTGCATACTTTCCGCGTACTCGGACAATGCTGGTCTCAAGTCGGGGCACTGCTGAAGAGCGTCCACCAGCTGTGCGGGCGGTAGGTGCAAAAGTATCGGCAGGGATTGCGGCTTCATTCGCTGCACTGTCTTGAGGAAGCCCTCCCAGATGACCTTCTGCCGCCAGACCTGCTTCATTATCAGCCGCTGCAGCAGGTTCATCACGAAATTGGCGAGGCGCGGATACAGTGTCAGGCTCTGGATGGTGGTACGCATCATTAGAGTGGGCAGCGGGATGACCTCCACCAGCTGCTGCAGCACCGCCATCAGCACCTCTTGGGTGTACAACTCGCGTTCGGCCAGGCACAGGGAGGTGGCCTTTACGACGGCCTTCAAGTCACTGACATTGGGGTCAATGGTATGCAGGGCCACTAGGAGGTCCGTTGGCGACAGGGCCATCGTCTGGTTAGCGAACTCTGCTCCGATCCCGAGCAGCCGGTTGAACACTTCCTTTACGACTGCCGGATTCAGTTTGATCAGCTTAGGGAGCAGGGCGATGAGCTCTGCGCGTGACAGTCCACTCAGAATGGGTATCATTACGCGGACATCCTTGACCTTGTGCTGGTAGAGCTCTCGCACCCGGCGCACCAGATCCTGATGGGGCGCCGGTACACGCTCCGTTAGTATGTATATGATACGTATCACGAAGGTCTCCATGCCCTTGGGACAGTCCTCGATGAGTTTCTGCAAGGTTGGGTCCTCCACGCCTAACTTCTTGATCGGATTGTCCAAGCTGCGAAGGATTGTGCGCTTCAGCTCAGCGGAGGTGGCCACAAACACCTGGCTAACTTGCTCCACATAAACTGTTTTGAGAGGTAGAAAGTTGGTAATTATTACATAGAAATAATATGTATATTCTCACCTTCCGGCTTATAGGGCAACAGGGTGAGGGCCAGACCAAGGCACACCTTGGCTGTATCCTCGCGCCAAGCGGCCTCCGCTGTGGGTCGCCCGAATTCCTGCGTGAAAACTGCGGCCGGCGGTGCCTCCTGCACCACAAACTTTAGCCACTCCAAAGCGAACTCATCTATCCGTGCAGGAAGGATTTTGTGGATATGATAAATGCTAACCAGGTGTGCCAGGGCACGATCCCGCAGATCAGCGCGCTCGTGCACAGAGAAATTAAGCAAGGCTCGCACAAAACGATTCTTCCGCGGTGGCCTCAGCACGGCCAGGTCCTTGATGAGCTCCAGTCCATACTGGGAGAACTCATCTACCAGGCACAGCTGCACCAGATGCCCTATTGCGTTCTCTGGAAGAATGGGCGCTTCTAGGTAAGCACGGCGCAGGAGTATAATTTTATCCTTGTGCTCGCAGCGCTCGCCGATGCCGAAAATAAGCTGGTTGAGCAGCTCATTGTAGGCGTGATCCGGACGATTCTCGGTTTTCACGTAGGTGTGCCTGGTGAATCCCTGCAGCAGAGAGTACTCCTCAAACAGCCAGGAAAAGGCCAAGTCGATGCGCTGCTTTACGTCTTCCAAGATGAACTCCATGATGCCGTAGCGAACATTATCCGGAAAGGTGGCGGCTATTACAGTGACCAGCTTGCGCCGCCTAGACGACACGCCTCCCTTGACACACTGTCGCTCCGAGTTGAGGATACGACGAACGGCCTCCGTGAGAAACTTCTCCTTTAGATTTCGCGGCAGAGGCTTTGTGATCTCCTGCAACTTCAGCGTCTTTGCGCGTTCCTTCATCTTTTCAATTACCGTTTGCTCGCCCTTCGCCCGCTCCATGGTCTCGCGCAGCTTCTTGGTTGCCTCCTCTTTTCGCAACAGTTCCTCCTCGCTCATCTTGCGGACGGATTCGTCGTCGACTTCCATGGGAGTAGTATCATCATTAGGCTGCACCGTCTGCACTTGTTTGACCCTCATGGGCGGCTCCCGACTAAAGGTGGCGGCACCTGGGCCGAGACGCTTCTCCGTCAGCTGTTCGCCAAAGATTCTAGATATGTTGCTCACCTGCTGCTGCAGGGACATTTGGCGGATCGGCGTGTACTCGTTCAGGAACATTTGAGGCACTTCAGCCGGAAGATGTGGCAGAAACTCCAGAACCAGATCCACCACGGTCTCAGAAGTGCGCAGATGCTCGGCCAGGAACTTTTCGTTGACTCGAGTGGACTTTTGTTTCTGTCGCTCCAACTCCTCGGTGTCCAGCTCCATCTCCCGCTGCTCACTGGCCAAGCGCGCCTTCTTTGCCAGACTCTGTGCGGCGTTCTCAAGGATGCGCTTCTGACGCCGCGCCGTTTCCTGCTTGTCCATCTTTGGCATCAGCTTCTGTATCTCATTCGACGACGAACCGAGGTCCACCAGCATGCCACGAATAGTGCCGGAGAACTCGAAGGCACCTCGATTCTTCAGCAGCGTTTGCAGCTGCATCTTGAGACTCTTGCGGACAGAACTCACCTGGGAGTCGGTGAGAGTGGGCGGCAGATTGGCGTTCAGCTGCTTGAAGGCCTCCACAACGGCGCCCATGAATACGGGCCGCATTTTGGCCACCGTACATAGGCTACTGGTGCAGGCAATAAGATTGACAGACGAGATATGCGTGGTGCCGTGGAACTGCAGCATGATGTCGAATATATTCTTGCCTTCTTCCTGCAGCTTCTGGCGGCGGAATAGCTTGCAGTGATCCGGCACATCGGCCAGAGAGAAGTCGCCATCGCGCTTGAGGCTATCCTCGTCGGCAAAGCTCTGCAGGATAATGACGCCCTCAAGGAACTTGATGGCGTTGGTGCGAATTCCGTCGTTCTCGTTGTCAATCATGTCCAATACCTGCGCCTTAATGAGGCTTAGTATATTCCAAGCCTGCTCTGCGCTGTCGCCGGGCTCCATGAGGTTGCACAAGTACTGCAAGCCATTCTTGTAAATGCTGCCACAAGCCTGGATCACACGCTTGATAACCTGAGCCGAGTTGTCCCTCAAGAGCATGGATACTATGTTAATCACATGCGGCAGTAGTTCCACCTTCACTCTGCTGCAAGTAGAAAGGAGGGTAATTACTTATTGTGGGTACACCCCCTCCACCCTTCTAACAGCTGATAGTTACCACACTTGCTCCACGAACGCGACCACCTGCTTGCGCACCTCCATGTTCTGGTCGTGGGCCAGCGACAGCACCGGTTCCAGGAACTCCTCGGCCAGCTCCGCGCAGGAGCCGAGGACAGTCTCCTGAATCTTGGCCAGCAGCTCGCATTTGGTGGTGGCCGACGCAATTGAGAGTTCATTGCACCACTCAATCACCTGGATGGGAGTTGGAAAGAATGTTCAATGAAAGCCAGCTTTGGCCCGAAAATGCTACTCGCCTTCGCCCGTGCAGTGGCAGTCTTCTCGTCGGTAAAGAGATTGGCCGTCTCCGACACGAACTGACTGCGTCCAATTATGCTATCCATTAGTTTTATTATTCAATATTTATAATTAATATTATTATTTATAACAAGGAATATTGAGAAATTTTCAAGAGGCCGGCACCAGTGTTGCCAAATGAAAATAGCAAATAGCACTTAAAAAAGCCAGATTTGACGGGAAAAGGGCGGACTAGGCATCAGTTGTTTACTACTATTTTTATCGATGATTTATTGGGTGGATAATCGATACAAAGCTGGCAGTAAAATCTGTAATCGATAAAACACACTCTCGATGCATCGATTTACTCACATTTCTTGGGTATTTTAAAAAGCGTGAAAAACGCTTAATAAACTAAATAAGCCGCGTCCCTAGCAGAAAAGTGCAGCCGTGCGTGCCGCAGTCGAGGATTAGTTCGCTTCCGACGTCAAAAGTGCCCAGAAAAGGCCACAAAAACGCAGCAGCCACAGCGCAGTGTTATTGAGCGAGAGGGGGCGCAGCGGATAGGGTGTGTTTGCGTGTGTGTGTGCGGGCGCCGTGTGTATGTGTGCACCAGTGAGTGGGCAGAGGCAGCGGCAGAGGAGTAGCGCCAGCAGCAGCAGCGGATGTAGCTCGTTGCCCGGATCCCGCAGCCAATACCAGGAACCGCAAATCTAAGCGACAGGCACAAAAAAAAAAGTAAACACTGGAAACCCAAGCCGCGGCCGTAGACGAGGCCTCCTGGAACACCATAGCACAGCAGCAGCAGCAGCCGCAGCCGCGTCGGTGACCGCACCCTAATGTCAAATAGCCAAGCGAATGCCGGCAGCAGCTGTAGCGCGGTAGCGGATGAGTCCATCCAGCAGCACACCCCGGCTGCCCCTGTGGCAGCCCCAACGAATGCAACCTGCGCAGCCACGCCAGCGTCGACGCAGCAGCAGCAGCAGGCGGCGCCTCACATAGTCGGTGCCTCAACAGCTGATGCGGGCAGTGGCGTCGCCGTTGGTGTTGGCGTCGGCGAGGGCGTCGGAGTCGGCGCCAATCTAGACTCGTCACCCCGGGAATCCGGCGATGACTCGGAGGACGAGAGCGAAATCCTGGAGGAGTCGCCCTGTGGACGGTGGCTGAAGCGACGCGAGGAGGTAGACCAGCGCGATGTGCCCGGAATCGACTGTGTCCATCTGGCCATGGACACCGAGGAGGGCGTGGAGGTCGTGTGGAACGAGGTGCAATATGCCAGCCTGCAGGAGCTAAAGTCGCAGGAGGAGAAGATGCGGCAGGTGTTCGACAACCTGCTGCAGCTGGACCACCAGAACATCGTCAAGTTCCACCGCTACTGGACGGACACGCAGCAGGTGGAAAGGCCCCGGGTCGTCTTCATCACGGAGTACATGTCGTCCGGTTCGCTGAAACAGTTCCTCAAGCGCACCAAGCGCAATGCCAAGCGCCTGCCGCTGGAGTCGTGGCGTCGCTGGTGCACCCAGATCCTGTCCGCGCTTAGCTATTTGCATTCCTGCTCGCCGCCCATCATCCATGGCAACCTTACCTGTGATAGCATCTTCATCCAGCACAACGGTCTGGTCAAGATCGGCTCAGTGGTGCCGGACGCGGTCCACTATAGTGTGCGGCGGGGCCGGGAGCGTGAACGGGAGCGGGAGCAGGAACGCGAACGGGGAGCCCACTACTTCCAGGCACCGGAGTACGGGGCCGCCGATCAGCTGACCGCCGCCCTCGACATCTACGCTTTCGGGATGTGCGCCCTGGAGATGGCCGCCCTGGAGATCCAGCCCAGCAACAGCGAGTCAACTGCCATAAACGAGGAGACCATTCAGCGCACAATCTTAAGCCTGGAAAGCGACCTGCAGCGCGATCTAATTCGAAAGTGTCTGAACCCGCAGCCGCAGGATCGGCCCAGCGCCAACGATCTGCTCTTTCACCCACTGCTCTTTGAGGTGAGTAAATCTGGTACTCTTACAAGTACCTGTTTCGGGAGGGATTTGAAATTAACTGAAATTCGGTCCAAATGTATATTCTGAAAACTTTCTACGGCATGACCAACATCCTCTAAATTTATTGACCATTAATCCCCAGGTTCACTCCCTCAAACTGCTGACCGCCCATTGTCTGGTCTTTTCGCCCGCCAACCGCACCATGTTCTCGGAAACCGCCTTCGACGGACTAATGCAACGCTACTACCAGCCGGACGTGATAATGGCCCAGCTGCGGATGGCCGGCGGACAGGAGCGGCAGTATCGCCTCGCCGACGTTTCCGGCGCCGACAAGCTGGAAAAGTTTGTCGAGGACGTAAAATACGGTGTTTATCCGCTAATAACGTACAGCGGCAAGAAGCCGCCCAATTTTCGCTCACGGGCCGCCTCTCCGGAGCGGGCTGACTCCGTGAAATCCGCCACACCGGAGCCGGTAGACACTGAGTCGCGGCGCATTGTTAATATGATGTGCAGCGTGAAGATCAAGGAGGACAGCAATGACATAATAATGACAATACTGCTGCGCATGGATGACAAAATGAACCGGCAGCTGACATGCCAGGTGAACGAGAACGACACGGCGGCGGATCTCACCAGCGAACTGGTGCGCCTGGGTTTCGTACACCTGGACGACCAAGACAAGATCCAGGTGCTGCTGGAGGAGACGCTGAAGGCAGGTGTCATGAGCGACGGTGCCGGGGCAGAGAGCTCGGGTGCGGGCGTGACCACCACTGCGACCATGGCGGCACTGCAGCAGCTAGAGCGCAACTGGTCCATTTCCTCGGATGCCGACAAGCAGACAACTGCCGTGATGTATGTGTCGCAGGAGCAGCACCCGGATCCGGATGTCGATGTGGAGCAATCGGGCACGACGAGCAATTAGAAGAGAGAGTATCAGCTTAGTATTCAGGGGCAGGACGGCCGGCGCGTATTGTTTTTATTATATTGGGAATTACACATTACGATTTTATTACTACTATTATTTGTTATTTTTATATATATGTCGGAGATATCCGTTATTTAATTTAACCGTAGTCGAGCCAGCGAGTTCTGTTCGCCTGCGCAGTCAAATCGAATCTGTCATCACGCCACTTTTCCTGTGGCCCTTTCACCTTTTCTTACTTTTCACTCAGATGTCATTCCTAGACAATCTCAAGCTGTCTCTCTCATTCTCTCCTATTGTTGCGACAGACGAACAGACCTCACTCAGTAACACTCCTGTTACCGACTCAACTGTCATTGCGCCTGCGCGCCAGCGACACCTACAGGCTACCAATACCTGAGCATGCCGAATAGTTCTGTTGCCATAGCAACAAGCTTTCCAAATTTGCACTTAGCAACCAACTCGCCGACACGGCCATCCTGACAATTCACGCGTCCTCGCGTGACGTGTCTTCTAATAGCTCTAAACATAACTGTCATTTTCATTTATCATTCTCTCTTTTTTTCTCTCTTTGGTCTCAACTTAACATTTCATTTTATCTGTTTTATTCATGTCAAATAAGCTTTACTTTTATTTCTTCTCGCCACTTCATTCTCTTCTCGTACCAAATCTGTATCTTCTTTCTCTGCTCGTACCACAACTCTTACTCAACATCTCTTCATCAATTTATACAGGCTCTTGCTGCACACTTTGCAACGCTCACACGCACCTCTTGCGTCACGGTCTCTCTGGACCCTCACAGCCTTATAAATGATTCCACCAACGAGTGCCTCAGTCGGCGATCTCTCGCTTACACTTCTAGTGTCTTCAAATGTTAGTTTGGCAGGATAACCTTTCGAAACCATAGAGTACAAGCTCTTTTCGTATTTCAAAAGGCTCCGCTTCACATATTCTGACCATAGGAATAAAGTAGGCCCTGTTTCATGTGATCCGACACGGCCTTCCTGACAAATCACACGTCCTCGTGTGTTAACTTTAAATCACAGTATTCTAAAATTTCAGTACTCGTTACATTTTATTGTTAACAAACATTTCATTAATTTTCTAAACATGAGTATTGAGGCATTTAGACAAAATAAGCATCTTGGTTTCATGATAACATAACAAATTACATCTTCATTTTAATCATAATTTACAATTCAGACTTCTCTAATTACATAGCTTTATCAACTGGTGTATTTCCTTTTACACCCACATACTGACCCCCGCCATAACAATTCCTTCTGTTATGGTGCGGTCTCCACTGACCCCCGCCATAACAATTCCTTCTGTTATGGTGCGGTCTCCACTGACCCCCGCCATAACAATTCCTTCTGTTATGGTGCGGTCTTTATATCCCCTCTTGGGATTCCAAGGCATCAACCGTGCCATCCATATCATCATTCCCCACATGGGAATCAGACGCATCTCCACTTGAGTCGTCTAAATCTTTAATCAACTTTAATCTTTAATCAATCAACGTCATTGCTTATTTTGTCTATTTGGCTATGCCCTCAAAAACTCATGCGCATACTTATAAAAGTTCGCTTACTTGACAGATATCTCAAAACATATCAGCCACCATCAAGCTTTTCTATAAACTCTGTTTGGTGCCGATCTTCATTTTCATTTTCCATCTTCATTTCTTTCTCTTTTCTCTCTCATTCTTAACATATTTTCCATTTTCATTTTTCATTTTAAATTAATCTTGCCCTATCAAAATTAGTGCTCTTCCGAACCAGCATAACGTAACTTTAAATTTCTCTTTCTTTATACTTTTCTCTGTGTCATGTGGTGGTATCAAGCCCAAAGGGTGGGTCCGATTGGCATCTCTTAAGGGCTTGCATTGGTTGCACTACTAACTGTGCAGTTCGCCGCAAGTTGCACCCCGCCAAGAGCATCTTCCCATCACCTCTGCGGTCCTGGTATCCAGCCAGATGACTACTTTACAACTTTACACATGATACAATTTTCAACAATCTTTAAACTTAGTCATTTCCAACAATTCTGATAAATATTGCTGGGTCTATTTTTTCCAACCCAAACACATAACGGATTTATAACCTTGATTAATAACTATCCAACAAAATTTAAGGGACACTACTGGCAGATAACATTGCCTCACACCTCTCTGTATTCTTTAAAATCCCTCTTCGTAACTCAAGTTAATTTCAATTATTTTTAGTTGTTTATAAACTATACCAATAAATCCTGAATCCTGAAGTTGATCAGTCGGTCATTTGAGATTTCCATTCTAAGTTCAGACGTTTTTCTGTCAATTTATTTTTATTTATCGGAGTTAAATCAGTCATGTGAATTCTGGACACAAAAAGAATTCCACAATTGCCTTGCGCTTTCTCTTCCTCTACTCTATGATGCACTTCAGTTAATTTTTTTTTTTTTTTTTTAGAAATGATTACATCTGCAATAAGTATAGACTACAAACTCTCATCTGAGCAAACAATGCCAAAAATGTCAGAATAATTGCACGCCAACCAATATTTCCAATTCATACAAAGGCTACTTGGACTCCACAAGACACATAGTTCTACCAATATATCCACCAACATAAGGGTCTCCATTAATTAGGTGTATTAGCATTGGACCATATCCACAAGAGCTTATATCTGTTTCAAATTTGATCAGATGTTTCGAACCCACAAATAACGATTACAGGCTCATTTGTAATAATATTAAAAACGTTCGTTCCAATTTCTGAATATCGTCATTTCACTTAAAGATACTTGAAGCCGAAGAATCTGTCTCATGATCTGAGAAAATCGAGGCACACGTTTTTGAAAATAAGGCACCAATTCAATAAATGGTCTTACGACGGTCTCTTAATTGCACCGATTAAAAGGACGGACCTTTAACGTAAGGATTTTCTAGGAATTGGGTCTGATTTCTCCACCGCACACCTCATAGCTCAGATACTGCGTAGTAGGTTCAAGAAACCCACATTTGGTAACGTTAAATGGCAACTCTGGTACAGTCAACACATTTAATACAGCCTTCGGAAAGCCTTTTCTTCCGAGTTTGCCATGATTAACATGCATCTATGTAAACTATCGCAAATAATCATGATAAATTCCAAACGCCTTAACATTTGCATGATGAAGGTAGAAGATGCACTCTACAAACCAAACGGCACGGCAGACCAAACAGACGGCAACTCGTAATTTTAATTAATTATTTTTCAACAGAAACATTTTTCCTTCACAGGGTCTGACATAAGCGGCAAAGGCCACTGTCCGAAACCATTTTCGAATATTGCTTCCGATAGTCTAAGCACAACCTATCGTAGCACAGGGCTCGCCAATGGGAAGGCAGATGTGCAAACAACACTGCAATCAAACACATCTCTATTCCCATCTTTTAGCCAATTTAGCTCCCAAATCAAAGAATAATTGGAAAGGGCTCACCCGATACTGTCACTGTTGAATCACACAAATCAACTCGCTTCTACATGCAGCTGATGCTGCCGCTCGCAGCCGCTGATACCCATCTCGTGCACACAGATGCAATGTGACCACCGTTATCACGCCTGAAGTGCGTCACTCCAGCTCTCCGCACTTCAGCCGCAGTTCCGCCAGTGTGCTGTTGTTGTTGTCTTCCATTCTTCCCCAAATTTTCTGGCCGACACTGATGACACTTGCAACCGTCCGGCTCAACACGCGACCAGTGCATTTGACTGCCTATCACGACTCCGGTGTCTCGCACCGCGCGGCTGCGCAAGCTTTCGATGCGCTACTGAATTTAATATCGACCGAAAATCACTTTATCAGAATGCCCGCGAGGCTATGGTGAATCCCACTTCTGATGTCGGAGATATCCGTTATTTAATTTAACCGTAGTCGAGCCAGCGAGTTCTGTTCGCCTGCGCAGTCAAATCGAATCTGTCATCACGCCACTTTTCCTGTGGCCCTTTCACCTTTTCTTACTTTTCACTCAGATGTCATTCCTAGACAATCTCAAGCTGTCTCTCTCATTCTCTCCTATTGTTGCGACAGACGAACAGACCTCACTCAGTAACACTCCTGTTACCGACTCAACTGTCATTGCGCCTGCGCGCCAGCGACACCTACAGGCTACCAATACCTGAGCATGCCGAATAGTTCTGTTGCCATAGCAACAAGCTTTCCAAATTTGCACTTAGCAACCAACTCGCCGACATATATATACCTATATATGTATATGTATGTATGTATTTGAAATAATATTTATGTATGTATGTACCATAAACGATGTTGAACCAGGCTTCCAGGCTACAGATTTCGATGGCATATATAGGACAAACAAAAACACATACACACCACACGAAGGTGGGCTTCATTGCTTCAAGACAAGGCTGAAAATCGTTGGAACAGAGAGGTACGGCAGGGTCTGTCGGAAAATGTTGGTAATCTTTCTAAAAATTCGCACTATTCTTGGGGAAACATGTTTCCAGACCTCCTCACTTTCGATAACAACGATTTTTGGCCCATATACTGACTCACCCGAATAAAGACACCCTAGTAAACGCAGCTAACGAGCTTACAAAAATCAAAGCATTCACTTAGCACTACTCTGGGAAGAGGGCGCGAATAGAATTCGTAGCTCGCTCCCAGCGCTAGATACCATTCGAATACAAAACTCCAGATACAACGCCACTACGAAGATAATTTTCTAGGACTTGTATATCAAATTTGATCACTTAGCCGTGCCGCCGCGATGAGAACGAAACCTATAAACGCAGTGGATTGTATTTAAATGTATTACAAATATAAACAAATACGCAGGGCCACGAAAGAGAATAAATAAATTATTAAACTAAAAAAAAAAAACTATATAAACACACAAGCAGAGAGCATGCAACAACAACAACAACAATAATACACAACAGACATAGCTACACACTATTATTAAATAAATAAAGATGGCAAACCAGCTGACTACGTGTACTTGCTTCTTACTTAATCCCTGTCCCACTCAATTGAGTTTATTTTGTGTCCAGCTCATAAATAACAATCAATTAAGTTAGATGAAGCCTAATTGATCAAGGGAAAGATAAAGATAGAGGTTTTCGAGGAAGCCTAAGTGGCCCACTTTTCCTGGAAGAAAATACATTTTATTAGAAAAAAATTAATCTTAGTTCAAAACAAATTATTTTATTTTGTTTGTAATAGAAAGCATATGATAATTCAGTGGAATCCTATTCTAACTCGACATTTGAGTAGTTATGTAGCTACCCGCATGGGGTATTATTAAAGACCTTAAAATAACAAGGTGAGTAACGGCATACGATAAACCATTTAGTGAGTGTTCTTGCTTGATTTTGTGCTAACAATTCAAAAGTATCGTATCTTGTTATTATAAGGCCTTTGGTAGAATCCATTTTTATCAAATTTCATTGACTTTCTGCTTAATGATAATATAAGGTAAAGGGGTACCCACAGAAACCTATTTGCTTTGGAAATTCATTGAAATTGGCAACTTACATATGTACATATGTATGTTCTTGCAGCCATTTTTGGGTCAGCAAATTTCTCTGCCGACCCTCTGCCGTACACTTACACTATAAATTAAGCAACCTTTGCTTTTTTTTCTTACTCATACAAATGCATTGGTGCCTATCACTGATGAAAAGCACTCAAAGTATTTCTGTGGCACCCCGACTAAGTTTATAATTAAGCACACGCCTGTGCTGGAGCTTCGACTTCCTTTGGCTCCGGAGTGGCGGCCAACTTAATGCGCTTGCACTGCCTCTCTTCTGGCTCGTCATCGCTGAAACCCTCTTCCGATGCCGCAACCGTAGCCTTCTCCGATTCACTCTCTGCCGGGACCACCACTCGAACCGGTTGCTCCTTTTCATATAGCTCCAAGAGCTTGTTGCCCTCATAAAGGACAAAAGGTAAAGTGGCTCGCTGATAATAATCCGGCAGAAGCTCCAGGTTGTTGATCACTGTGTCCAGCATGTGAGACTTTTCGCACCAAATTCCGGGTGCGTCGTTTCGCACCGGATTGATGTGGACATGCAGGTGGTAGAAGGACGGCTGATAGTGGAAGTACATGCGCAGCTGGTTGGGATTTAGGCCGTAGCGCTTGAAGATAGCGTCCTTTGCCGACTGACGCAGGTTACGCAGTAGATCCAGGTGGCTAGCATTTAGATCACGAAGCGATTTTAGATCATGCTTATGGACGATGCCTAGCAGGTACAAGTTCTCTACATTCCGCCCGTCCCATTTGAGATCGGGCAGCAGGATGAAGCCAGTCTCCGGATCCTTGTCCTCGAAAACGATCCTCTCCGTCTCCTGCTTGTGCTCGAGTATGTTGTACACCCACTCCAAGGAGAATTGGCTTGAGGAGAGGTAAGGAAGAGTTATCTTTTCGTAGAGCTCTGGAGTCTCCCGAATGAGGTACTTTTGGCAAATGGAATACTTCTCGATATGTTTGTCCGTTGCGGGATATATGACAGTACTTTTGACTCCTGGGTATAGATATTAAGGAGAGTTTTAGGCAACATATTAGATATAAACCTTGTTTATAATTACCACATAGATCTCTGCTGGGCACAACCTGATAACTGCCGTATATATTGTTAACAAACTCGGTGTCCACCTTGAGGTCTGCGCTAAAATAGCTCGGTTTCTTCGGTGATTCCTCGGAGAGCGGCTGAGTGGCGACGTCGCTTTCCCTATAGGCTGCAGGAATTAATGTACTCGATTAGAAATTCATGGGCAATAAATTAGGCCTAACACACCATTTTTCTCGAAAACAACAATAGCGTCGTCCGTTTCCGAAAGGTCTGGGAAAGTGCCGAGCAGGGAAATGCTTTTCCGTACACTATTGTTGCTTAGTATGCGCTTTAGCCGGAACTTTGACAAGTCGTACGTCGGCAAGTTGGATTCTGTGCTTTTTTCCGCTGGTTCCGGCATTTCTATTGTTTTTTTTTTCTCTTTAAATTAGTAGAAAATAATTTACTTGCGGCTTTTTTAGAGGTGCAGTGTGACCGTAGCTGGGATTTTAAAATATATTAAGATACGGCTCTCGACCAGTGTTGGGTAATTTCATCTTTAATGTTGTACTAAATTGTACTAATTTGACGAACATGTACTAAATGGGTTTTTCTTCAATCTTCTGAGGTTCATTTTCAAAATATTCTCTCAAATCTTCCGATTTGACATTTACATATATAGATATATATGGAGCTTTTCTTTAATAATAAAGCAGAAAGAGTGAGAAGTTTCAAGAATGTATGTCGAAGAAACCAGCGGCAAGAAATGCGATGTGACCAGCCTTGGGGGACTTTTCAGTATATTTATTATTCAGTAATATCCGCCATCCAAACTGCGGTCATATTGCTTGTTTTTTTAATTGTTTTATTTTGTTTTCGGAGCGATTGTGTCGCGAAATGGACATCGATAAGATCTGCCTGACCTGCCTCAGCTCGACGGGCCCGTTTCTGTCCATTTATGACAACGGAACGGGTAGCTGCCTGGCCGACATGCTCAGGCAATTCACAAAAACTACGGTAAGGGCCGCGAATTCCTTGAGTAATCCCAGTATTAATTCGGGTGATTTCTCTGTTTTATAGCCGCGTCGCAACGATAATCTGCCCGAGAAGGTGTGTCTGGGCTGTTTGAGTGAAATAAACCACTGCTACACGTTCAAGATCATGTGTGAGAATTCCAGTCGAACTCTGCGCCAATTGCTGCCGAATGCCCTTCCCGAGGAGTCCGAGTCGGACAAGGCGTCAAATAAACAGCCGGTGTCCACCATAGATCAGGCTGTGCAGACGCCCAATTGGGAGCCCAGCCGTTGCACGGTGTCCGCCCAAACGGAGGAAGTGGTCATAGAGGACAGCAGCCTGTGTAAGCGGAGGATTTCATTGCACTTGGACGACGGAGATGGGGATGGTGAAGGAGAGGTATTCGACTACGAGCTGACCGATGAGCCCATGGAAAAGGCGACCAGCATAATCCTACAAGTACAGCAAAGCATGAAAGTAGAAAAGGAGGCCGTCTTCTCGCAGGCCAATGTCCTTTACGAGGGCGATGACAACGATTTGGAACGGCAGATAAGGGAGTGCAATCTGGCCATTTTTGACAGTGTCGAGAACGAGGCTGCAGTTGTCCAGGTGCCAAGTGAACAGGTGAGCACAAGAAAAAGAGCAGCTAAACTTCTTGTGCAGCAGCAACAGCATGAAGAGAAGGGGGAGCAATTTATTAAACAGGAAGCTCAGCCGGAAAAGAAAACCTCTCGTCGGAGGGCAGCTGAGAAACAGGAGCTGCACACCATGTCGTCGGCGTCGTCTTCGTCGACTTCCCCCTCGAAGCAGCTGCGAATGGGAAACAGCCACAGACCTGTCAACTCAGCAGCCACCTCGTCCTCGGCGGTCGAGGGAACAAGCCCAGCAGCGCCAGGAGCTGCCTTGGTAGCAGAGCTGAAATACCACTGTGATCGCTGTAATGCTGGCTTTGCATTGGAGAAATCTCTAATTATTCACAAGAGGCAGAACAGCTGCACGAACCGCAATTTTAAGTGCGATGAGTGCGAACGGGTCTTTGTGTCGCCAGATCACCTGGCCGAGCACCGGGCCAATCATGGCGCTCACAACTGCCCGGAATGTGGGTTAAAGTGCGAGTCCAAGGAGCAGCTGGGCAAGCACATGGTGCAGGGCCACAAGCGGAATCTACGCAACCAATGCAACGTTTGCCAAAAAGGTGAGTCTGCTTTTAAGTTCACAGTAAAAGACCTAAAACCATCTGTTTCACAGTCTTTACCATGCTGTCAACTCTGCGTGACCACATGCGAATCCACACCGGCGAGAAGCCATTTGTGTGCAATATCTGCGGCAAGAGCTTCACACAGAATGCCAATCTGCGCCAGCACAAGCTACGCCACTCGGAGACAAAGAGCTTCAAGTGCGAGCTTTGTCCACACTCGTTCGTTACCAAGGCGGAGCTGGCCTCGCACGCCCGCACCCACACAGGGGACAAGCCCTTCGAGTGCGAGGTGTGCTCGGCCAGGTTCACCACCAGTTGCTCGCTGGCCAAGCACAAGCGCAAGCACACCGGAGAGCGGCCCTACGCCTGCGATCTGTGCCCGATGAGGTTCACAGCCCTAAATGTGCTCAAGAACCACCGAAGAACGCATACGGGCGAGCGTCCATATGTGTGCCCATTCTGCTCGAAGACCTTTACGCAGCGCGGCGACTGCCAGATGCATCAGAGGACACATCAGGGCGACCGAATCTACATTTGTCCAGTGTGTAACGAAGAGTTTAAGTCAATGCCGGAGATGCGGACGCATCTCTCCGGACACGAGCAGCACGACAAGCGCCTGGTGCACTTTACCCTGATTAGCAACAAGGAGAATGGTAGCGGTGCCCTCGAGGATGACCTCAACGAGATGGCCGAGTCGACGCTGATGATATAAGCGTTTAACCAGTGATATTTTTAAGTGCACAAATTACGATTTAGTTCTCCCTGAAAAAAAAGGGGATGCATCCCACCTCAACGGTGTGTCTATCCTTGCTGCACCCCACACACACACGCACACACACATTATTCGACTGCTGTTCGTTTCCACTTGTCCACTTCTCCCCAGCGGGAATACAATTTATGTCGAAAACTCACAACTTTAGAACATCTTTAGTCTTAACTTAGTGGCTAGGTTGTAGATACAAATAAAAGCTTAAATGGTACATTGCAGTGTCGTCTCCTCATTGCTAGTAGAACTGACCATATTGCCCCGCTGGCTGCAGGGCCGTCGACGTGGAGGCTACGACGGAGGTCTCGGGCAGAAGCAGGGCGGCTGTGGAGGGCGGACCGCTCGTGACCGGCGGATCTCCGTGGAACCAGTTGACTAGCTCATGGTGCGCACTTTGGACGCATTTGCGCTGGTCCGCAATCAGGTTTTCCGAGTATTTCACGTGGTTGGCATATGCATCCTTTTCGTGCTGCACATCCTTGGACATGCGATGCAGATCCTTGAGTATTGCTGATCCCCACAATTGCACGTGGATGTCGGGAATCTTGCTGGCCAGCTGCATTGCCGGCGTGACCATGTTCATGCTCTCCTTGGAGTTGCCAATGCTGAGGAAGACGTGCGAGAGCAATACTAGCGAGCAGCTGGTCAGCCGGTTAAGGTCCTCGGCGTTGGCCATTTTCAGGGTCTCACGGAGAAAGCGCCTGCAAAACAAAAGTAATACGTTAAGGAATATAACCATTGATGTCAAGGATGCTCCACCACTCACTTGGCCTCGTGAAAGCTGTTTTTGTGAAAGGCGTGCAGACCCTGGACGTAGTAAAAGCCCCCCATTAGCGCCTGGCTGCTGTAAGTGTGCGTGTTCTCCGTCGACACAGCGTCAAGTATTTGTTTCAGGTCCGTCTCCCGCTTGGTCCGCAGATAGATTATCGCCAGGTTGAGGTTGGCGAACAGCTTCAGGTCCCTCTCGCTGGTCTCGCTTACGCAAACGAGAAACTGTCGCTCGGCGTGCTCGAAGAAACTGGTTGACATGGAATACAGCCCAACGAGGCAGTGCAGCTGGGCGGAATGCCGTCTCAGCAAACTACGCTGCGGTGCCGCCAGGCATACGTCCCGCGCGGCAGCAATCTCGCGGATGGCCAGTTCCCGGTTTCCCATCACCATGCGGCACATGACAATGTGCTCCAGAAGAATCACCTTGAAAACGGACAGGATGGGCTTATCCTCCTGCTGTTTAAGCTTTTCGATTTGTGTGAGCGCCTTCTCGGTATACTTTTGTGCCTTGTCCATGTAACCCGCCATCATGGAGTGCGACACGGTCACAAGGTAAACCAGCACGTACAGCTGCTCCTTAGGCAGCCACACGAACATCTCCAGCTGATTGGCACCGAAGATAGCCTCGTCCGATGGCCAATTGGGTGCCATTATCGTTTGGATGGACATCTGTAGCTGCTTGAGACTGGGCTTCACAGTCTTCACCTGGCCCAGAGCCAGGTAGTAGCACACCTGCAGGACCAGGAAGAACACCTTGAGATATTCCTTCTGGTGGGGATTGGGTATGTTGTTGTCGATGATTTGGCCCGCAGAGTTGAGCAGGGCGAGCACATCGTTGGTCTTGCGCTCGATCATCAGGATCATGGCGCGCGAAAGCAGGAACAAGACCTTCAGGTACGTGGCGCTCGCCTCGTCGGCGCTTTCCGCACCCACGGCCAGCAGCTCGGACGCCAGGGAGTACTCGCGATCGCTGGCATGTATCTGGGCCAGTTGCAACAGAAGCTTGCAGTGCCAATAGACGTTGTGCTGTGAGAGTTCCACGGCGCGCCGCAGCATCGCCTTGGCCTGGTGCGAGTTCTGGTCCGTTTGCAGATGAAGTTGCGCCAAAAGCGAGGCCGTGTCAAACTTGACGTCAAAGTTGGCCAGCGGCTCGGAGATGCTCCACGCCTTCTCCAAATGATGGCGCGCCAGGTCTATATTCTTCGTGTAGGCCATTAGGATCTGGCCCATTTGCAGGTGCGTCCGCGCCTCGACCTTTGAGGGCGGCATGAATGTGAACAGCGCCTGCAGGCACTGGATGCACTTCTTGATGTTCGGCGGCTGTGAGGTGCGGAAGAACTCCGCCAAGCCGAGCAGCGAGATGTAGCAGGCGTCTTGCGACGCCGCCGCCGAAGTGGAGGCTGATGCGCTCATTTTGGACAGCAATTTCGGTTTGTTTATAGCGTAATTTTGTTTTGTTGTCAATTTCGCGACTGTGCGGTGGTGGCTGCCAGTGTTGGTCAATGCACGCGCTGGTGGTGGCACAAGCTGCAGCTGAAATCGAGCTGTCACTGATATCGAAATGTCACTGATATCGAAATCACGGAAAAGCAAGCGGATTCGTTGGCATGCTAAAAAAGTTAATAAACTGAAATAAAAGTAAACATTTCTAAAAGGCTAATTAATTGTACGTTAAACATACTAATTTTTGTATGCTTGGTTTTGGAAAATGTCCATTATTTATCTATCGTTATGGCCGTCTATCGTTATCGTTATCGAAACCAAACAATAATTTTCGCTCCCATTGTTTTCCAACTTCAAAGCTCAATTGGTTGACGGTCGTGACGGTTCGGAGTGCATTCTAAAAAAGTGTCCTGCTGTTAAAGGTATTTATTGAGTTATTTACATCTTTAAGCGAATTAGTGCATATATTAAAAAATATTTAATATCACATTAGATAACAACAATTAAAGTCTATAATAATATTTGTTAACGTTTTTTTTTTTGGTTAAACTTTAGTAAAATTTAAAATATTCTTAAAGCGTGATTCAGCTTCGCACAATGCATAATATATTAATTGTTATCTCTGCTAATGTGACCTCTGGCCCAGCAGCTATGTATGTATAAATGATATGGTATTCCCGACATAAAAGACTTCCAGGAACCCAATCAATCTCAGAATCCAAGAATTTTTTAATAGCCAAGAGATTTTTAATATACACATATGTACATAATGTACTTATGTGCATATATAGTACAGTGTATGCCAACAAGTCGAACCAGTCTTAAAAGGTATTTAAACCAAGCATAAGCTTTCCTCAAGCAACAAACAATAAACTAATCAATTCTGATTGATTTACATAGGTAAGCAATTGATTATAATTGATTATAAGATTATAAAGATTATATTGATTATAAAGACAATACTTTTATTTGCTTCCAATACATAGTAAAAATTTTAACGAGAACGTGCCAAATGTAATAAATATTGTGTAATTTCCAAAAAAAATTAACGTGCTGAAATATATTAAATATAAACATTGAAAATAATTCAAATATAATTAAATTTGTTTTATTTTTAGAAAGTTAATAATATATATGTACATATGCCGTTACGTGACGTGTTCGACATTTTTTCAGGAATACTTTTGCACATATATATATATTTACCTTCTAGGTGTTTTTTAAATTTCTAATCTATTTATTTTTTCTTATGCATATTTTTAAGCCATAAAATGAACATTCTCAGCCAGACCCTCCTGGTGGTTTTACCTGCCATTGTCCTAGCCCGTTTGTGCGATGTGCCCGCAGACCAAAATAATCTGCTATCTCGAACCAACCTGTACCAGAGCCAGAAGAACTTTGCTGTGTCTATGCTGGATGCAATTCATAAACGGACTCCACGCGGAAATGTCTTCTTCTCGCCATACAGCACATACAACGCACTGCTCCTCGCCTATTTCGGTTCCTCCGGGGAGACGGAAAAGGAGCTTTCTAGGGTGCTACATCTAGACTGGGCCAGCTCCAAGGAGATGGTGCGCAGCGCCTACATTGTGGAAAAAAGGCACCTTCATACCCGTTTGCGCAAAAGTCCGCTGGAATTTTCCTCAGCGGGTCGAATTTTCTACGCCAAAGATCTTGAGCTAGGGGAATGCCTGAAGGATCGCCTTTTTAACGAGTACGAAAAGATGAACTTCCAAAACCAGCCGGACAAATCGCGCAAAGAAATCAATGACTGGATTGCCAACCAGACCCACAACCAGATCCGCGACATGCTGAGCGAGACCGACATTACATCGCGCACTCGTGTGGTCTTGGCCGATGCCTCCTATCTCAAGGGTCAGTGGGTCAGCAAGTTCAAGGCGGAAAAGACCTCCCAGAAACGGTTTTACACCACCCCGACTGACTATTCAATGGTCCCTATGATGAGTCAAAATGGTTCCTTCTTGTTAACTCTGGACGAAAACCTGGACGCCAAAGTTCTGCAGATGCCTTTCCGCACCTCCTACGAAACACAGGAAAATCCGAAATCCGAGATCTCAATGGTGCTTATCCTGCCCTCAAAATCCTTGGATAATGTGGTATCCAAATTGAACTCCGAAACCCTTCGACAGGCCTTTAACTTCGCTACGCCGCGACAACTGGAGCTGTCCGTGCCCAAGTTTGAGTTCGAGCAGCGCTTGCAATTGGTTCCGGTAAGCTTTTCTCACATCTAGTGTACAAAATAAATAAAAGTGAAATATCCCGCATAGAAATCGATTTTGCGAACATTTTGCCTTTTTTTTTTTTTAATTAAACTTATTCAAATAATATTTTTAAAATAAAATTAATAAGCTCATTCGGCATGATCCAAATCTTTAAATTCATCATAATACAGTAATCGCTTATTTCTCTTATAGATCCTCGGCGGCATGGGACTGACCAAGACCTTCTCCCCGGCTGGAACCTTCTTGGATTTGACGTCAGAGCGAATTGTATTCGACGACGCCCAGCAGGTGGCCAAGATCAAGGTCGACGAGGAGGGCAGCACCGCGGCGGCGGCCACCCTTCTTTTTTCCAGCCGTTCAGCGCGCCCAGTGGAGTCTGAGACGTTCAAGTGCGACCATCCTTTCCTGTTCCTCATCTACGATGAGACCAACGAGTCAATCCTGTTCACAGGCATCTATCGCGATCCCAAGACAATGAAGGCGTAAACCTTGGGTCTTAGCATCGAGTCTGCGGTTGATAAATCCTTATACTTTTGTAAATATCATGTTTGATAATAAAAGGTACGTCAACGCAATAAATACAATTTGCACATAAAAATGTATTGCTACAATATCTTTTTAAATCCCTTCTAAAGCATATTTCTTATAAAATATTCCAGATTTTTTTTAGTTTTCAAATTGCAATCATTGGTGAATCAAAGTGGTTTCAAAACCAATTCTCTCAAAAAATTGCATTCACAGATTTTTTTTTTAAATTCGAGAGGCCCCAGGTTGGTTTAGTACTTTAGTTTCATGTTCGTAGTTAGTTTTTATTTTTATTTATTTTTTGTGTTTTATCTATTAATAGATTTAGATATGGTTCAATTAAACTGGGAGAAAGGTAAATTATTTCAATTTTCACATTGAAATTGAAGTGAGCGTGTTTTCTGCGGCAGCCCTGTATACCGGTCTTTGAGATCTGGGAACAGATCATTATATATAAATAAATATAATATAATATAAAATAAAATATGAAATATATTCAAACAAAGTAAAATAAGGCTCCTAATTTTGGCGCTTTAAGATTAGTGAATTTATTTTATAAATCCTTATATGAACAAAAATACCTGCTGAACGTACCACTAAAATGCTCCACCTAGTGTTGTGAGTTTCAAAATTTCACCGATCTGGCACGCGGATCAGCTGTTGCTCACCGATCGTCTATCGATACCCAAGCCGGGCTTGAATTTATTTTGGACTGCCATTTGGCCACCGAGTTCCAGTTTAAACTTCAAAGTTATAACCGCAGTCGAGTGGGACAGACGTGTTTTTCGGTCCACAGTTGAAGAAGGTATTTCCCAGCGTTTATTCAGTGCTTGTCGAGTGTTTTGTCCCAATTTGTTCAACTCCCCCGAGCCCGTTACGATCACTCAACGAATCGGGTCGGCATTAAAGCGTAGCCTATTTCTGCAATACTAATCAGCATATCAGAGTGTACATATGTCTGTATGTAATAATATAATATAATTGCATACTCACGAGTTATAGATAAATATGGATACATACATTTTGTCGCACGCAATTGAAGTGAGGCAATAAGTGGCGCTATTTTGGTATAGTAAATACTTGAAATTTGTGATGTATATATGTACATATGTGCATACATACTGGTAGTAAGAGGGGCTTTCTTTCAAGACACTCACCAAGTGCTTATCTGTGATCATGACCTCGGTCATTGGTTTATACATACATACATAAATCATCCAGCTTCTATGAAGATTCAATTCCAAGAATACGTCATAAAATATATTTTTTTAAAGAAATAATAATAATTTGGAAATTTCACAACCAACATTAAATTATAACAGCTCAGGCATTTCCAAAAATAAAAAACCTAAAGCAAGTTTCAAGTGAAAAATATTGAAGCTTTTGACCATATTGCCTCTTTATCACCAGGACATTTACAGATTAACTCGATATTTGGAAAGATAACTAAATATTAGGTTGAAAAACCTTTGTTGAAATAGATTTTTACCTTCTGCTTTAGGCTTAAAATGTACCATGCTCCTACTAGAGCTGCCTTAAGCCTTTATACATACTCTATAACTTACTTTATTTTTAATTATTGATCATTCTTAATGGCGTTTTGTTTATTATTTTTTTTCCCAAGTACTTTGACACCCATTTAAGCCAAGTTCGAGGCAAAAGATCAAAATGACATGTCCGCTTCCCATCAATCAAAACTTGTTGTTCAGTATTTTGGGAGAATCCCAAAACTTCAGTCAGCTAACGAAAAAATATAAGGAAAGAGACGCGCATGCGCAGATGTCAAACGGACGGACAGACAAACGTTACGTCTGTGTAGGGTACAAAAATAATTACAAAATCGCCAATACAGGGTCAACAATGAGCATACGCGCTAAAATACGAAACGCCAACAATTTGTGCCGTTTATGAATCACATACTATATTGTGGCGTTGTCTGCCGGTGGGATCCGCGCAACCGGTTGCTGGAAATGTTAATTTTGGGTTTTTTTTTTTGTATATTTTTATACAAAGCCCTCTGGCGCTGCAGTCACGCAACCGCGGACATCGTCATCGCTCAGCTGGTAAAAAGCTTCCACTCCCAATCTGCAGAGCCCCCTTTCATGCTCCGCTGCTGCATTCGAACACCACAGTTCATTATGTTTTGGATTGCGAATTTCGAGTGCAGAGCGGCTGGGGAACTTTCACTTTTTTTGTTTTATGTCGCGGCTGCAAAGATGTTGCAATTGTCGCCCGAAGATAAAATAAGTAACAAACCACTCGATGGACTGGAAAAGCTTTCGAGTTAAATCAGTAAACTGAAGCGAACCAATTTCAATTTTTATATTTGTCTTGGGATTTCCGACTTTATCTCAATGACTTTAAAAGAAATGAAACACGATGATGCATAAATCTTAAAAATAAGTTTCACAGCTTCATGCTTTTCCAAATTATTGCACGTTTGAAATGAGAAATAATCTTTGAACAGGTCGGTAGGGAAATCTTAGTGCTTTTCGTAGCAAATAACACAAATAGATAACAAAATTTTTATAATTTAATTCTAAATAAGCACGGAAAAGTAAAAACAAAACGTTTTCAAAACAATAAATGTTTTCCCCCTTTTTAAAGGTTTATAATATTGACTTACTCTGCTTTTTAGAGTTTTCCTGTCTATGAATAGAATTGTAAAATTGACTAGATGCCATCTCCTAATGAGCGTAAACAAAAGATTTTTATTTTACGGTTCCCTTAATGAGTGGGGGTTTTCTACCCAAAGCGTTGAGCTCTTTTCGAAATAATTTTCTGACATTTATTGTCATGACACGTGAACGGATGGCGGGGAAACCAGAGCAATGTGATGCGTCAACCACTCTACCTGAGAACTGCATAAATTTACCCAACTTAAATGCGTCTCTGGGGCCTTTCGAGGTCTCTAATCACTTTGCCGGGACACAAACAAACATTAGAGTCGTCGGTTTCAGTTATTTAATATTCAACAGAGGCTAAGGCCGATAAGACGGGTAATGTTTAAGCCTCAGACATTCCAGCTTCAAGGTTACCTGACGGATCTCTCACTCTCTCTTTAGGGTTTATTAACATGGTTTTTAGACATTCTTTGGTTTATTATTTAATTTACAATAATAATCATATTTTTCTTTCACTGATCACAGGTTGTTTTCCAGTCACAAAATGCATATCCTCAGCCTATCCGTGCTGGTGCTACTGCCGGCGATTGCACTAGCCAGTCTTTGTGACGTTGAACCCAACTCAAGCTTCCTGGAAAAGCGAATGAACCTTTATCAGGGCCAGCAGAACTTCTCCGTCTCCATGCTCGATGTGATCCGAAAAAGCACTCCCAACGAAAATGTCTTCTTTTCACCGTACAGCACCTACCATGCCCTGCTGCTGGCTTATTTCAGTTCCTCCGGGGAGGCGGAAAAGGAGCTCGGCAAGGTGCTTCAGCTGAACTGGGCCGACTCCAAGGAGATGGTGCGCAGCGCCTATTTGGTAGAGAGGAAGGACCGTGAAATTCGATCGCACAAGATGCCACTCGAGTTCTCATCCGCGGATTGCATTTTCTTCGGCAACAATCTGCATCTGACTCACTGCGCCGAGACTCGGCTGGCCAAGGAGATCGTCAGGACGGACTTCCTGAACAAGCCAGATGCGGCGCGCAAGGAGATCAACGACTGGATTGCCAACACGACCCACAACCAGATTCGGAACATGCTGAGTGCCGAGGAAATCACCAGCGACACCAAATTGGTCCTGGCCAATGCTGCCTATTTTAAGGGTCAGTGGGTTAGCCAGTTCAAGGCGTCAAAGACCACTCCCATGCCCTTCTACACGTCCGCGTCCAATTTCTCCTTTGTGCCCATGATGCAGCAGAAGGGCACTTTCCTGCTGAACACCGACGAACAGTTGCGCGCACACGTCCTGCAGATGCCCTATCGCACCGTCTTCGAGTCGGACGAACAGCCGGACAGCCAGCCGGATGACAAGTCTGACATCTCAATGGTGCTCATCCTGCCGCCCTTCAACCCCAACTCCCTGGAGGACACTCTGTCGAGACTTAACACCGAGACCCTGGAGCAGTCGCTCAACCAGGCGATGCCGCGCGAGATCGAGGTATCCCTGCCCAAGTTTGAGTTTGAGCAGCGCCTAGAACTGGTTCCAGTAAGTCTACTTTATAATCCTGGTTTTCAATTGCAAACTAAAATGCTCCATTTGTTATTCTAGATCCTTGCCAGAATGGGAGTCTCAAAGATCTTTGACCCCATCGCCGCCACCTTTGACGATTTAACCTCCGAGTTGATTTCTCTCGGCGATGCCAAGCACGTGGCCAAGATCAAGGTGGACGAAGAGGGCAGCACCGCAGCGGCAGCTACCGTCTTGTTTACGTACCGTTCGGCCAGGCCCGTGGAGCCGGCCAAGTTCGAGTGCAATCATCCATTCCTTTTCCTCATTTACGATCGCACCTCCAGCTCGATCCTGTTTACAGGCATCTATCGTGATCCTAAGACACTCAAGCAGTAAATGCGACGAGTTCGCAATTAACCTAACCAAATTTTGTCTTGACTGTAAATGATATTGTACACTTCTTAACCTACTTTAACGTTAATAAATTATGCCCATAACAAGAAATATTAATATAATTACAAGCTGGCGGTGTTTTCTTAGCGGTCGAACAACACCTTCTGTTCTCTTTTACGATTTCCCAAAAACTTGTTAAGATAACTGAAAATCTTCTTCAGTCCAATAAAAACACTTGACAAATTAATGTTTTGCTCAATTTACTAAATTCTTCATACAAAATTCGCATAAATAATAAAAAATTTACAAAGTTTCATTTTGGGAAGCTTCCATTAAGTAAACACTGCTGCTACGTAAAGAAATATGCAAATAAGGATGTGGTTTCAATTTTGAGGAGCTTCGTTCCAACCTGGTCCTATTAGCACGCGTATGTACATATGTACAGGAATCTTTAATACTTAACACAAAACCGAAAGCTGGACAAATAATTCAAGACAAAACTAAGCGATTGAACGATTAACGTGGATTGGAAAGCTATGTGGTTAAATTTATATGTCATGGCCGAGGTGAAAAGCACTGAAGGCACTTTTGTTTTCTTTCCTTAATTTTTGTGGATTTCGTTTTGTTGTTTGCCAAACTATGTTAAATACATGTGAATCCACCATCTTCTTTTTTAGATTAATCAATACAATCCTGCTCCTCAAACGAAAACATTGGTATAAAGGGTTCTACAACTAAGTCTTCAAATAATGTGGGGTCGTCAACGGGGCAATCTCGTCAAGAGTTCCATGGCTTGCTGTCTAGATGTCATCCGGGGGCATGGCGACAGCGTAGATGGCGAAGCCGATGAACACAATGCCACCCACAATGGTGACAGTGCGCACAGAGATTTTGGAAGCCACAAGACGACCTCCAATCACAGCCAGGCCAGTGCAGATGCAGTGGCCAATAATACCGCCAGCGATAACGCCATAGACGTCCTGTAAAAGGAAATTGTTTTGAATTTGTATTTTATAACAAACTAGTTATTTCGTATTCTCACCTTGCTGGCTGCGAGAATAATAGTGGTCAGTTGGGAGCGGTCGCCCCACTCGGCCAGGAAGGTCATTGTAAAGGCCTGGGCCAAGATGCGCATGGTGAAGTAGGTGGCTCCGCGTTTTTGTGGACGACGACGGCCGCTCTCGGCGTCGTTTACCAGCGCAGCATTCACATCACGGTCCAGCTGCAAGAGAAGACATAACACCCAAGGATTAGCTAGGAAGAACGCGGCGCATCTGGCCGATGTCGATGAAAATGTGCGCAAAAAAGGATAAGAACAGCGTATAAAAAAGACATTGAACGATTTTTTGAACAGGAAAACACAACTTTCCTGTTACATGGACGAACCAAAGGAATAAACTAAAATAAAGCAAAAAAAAAAACGATCACTTCATAACAACATGCAGAGAGAGAAAAATGGGTGACAAATGTGCGCCAATCGAATGGAAGTGAGGAATGGATATAATCAACCTAGTACAGAGGCCACAAAAACCAAATGCCCAAATGACTTAAAGTTAATTGTTAAGAAATAAATCGATGTCCATGTCTTGTCTTGTGACTGTGTGTGTTCTATGAGTGTTTAGTGTGGAAATGTCTGTGTTTTTGGGGCAAAAAGCACGTGAAACGAACATGATAAAGGAACAACAGTTAGAAGTTGTCGGTTATTAGATATTATTGCAGCCCCGACCTCATTTATGTCCGGTAAATGCTTACGAAACTGGAAAGGATTAAACCATAAAACTTAAATTTGCCTTTTATTTTGTAAACCTTAACCTTCATATTTATACCTTAGATAGTTAAAAGATCCCTTAGCTTATTTCTTTTCCCTCACCAAATTTTAAGAAATATCAAAAGCAGACAAGATCGGTGGCATTTCAACTTTCGAACGAGTTTCCATTAAAAGTCTAACTTGAAAAACAAATGCTTAATCAATTCCAGTTTCGAAACATTTAGTAGAACGTGTGACGATAACGGGGCTGCCTGAGATTTGGATTCTGGCCTAACCCGTGCTTTGAGGGCGCCATTAGCCGGTCCGGCCGAGTCCCCATTCAGGCTTCCGTTGAGGCTATGCATGCTATCGTGTCCGGCCAGTGGAGCTCGCGGCTCCAGACTTCCGCCAACCATGGAGGGATCGGTGGGATGCCCAGCCTGCTGGGCGGCATCGACGGTGGTGGTTGAGGCGGCCATGGAGTTGGTTTGTTCGGTCTGGTTCGATGAGGCCGCCGAGTGGGCCGGGCTACTGTGGTAGGTCTTCATCTTGAGCTGCTCCACAATGCGTCCGCCCTCTTTTAGGAACACCTCGGACTCGTGCTGATCCCGATCCGCCTCATCATCGTTGCCAGCTTTATCACAGCTATTTTGCTTACTATTAGAGAGGGTGTTATTGTTGTTGTGGCTGCGCTGCTTCCGCTGGCGATGCTGCATGTCGGAGTCGCCATTGGCAGTGGCTGATGCGGCTGCGATGGAAATGGAGTTGTTGCGGCCATGGATGAGAGCCTGCTCGCTGGCATCCTCCTTGTCCGAGTTGCTATTCTTCCGCTTGGCTTCCGTATCCTCGTACTTTCTGCTGGCCTTCCGCAGCAACTGATCCATGCCATGAGCCAATGTCAAATGCATTTTAATATTTTGATTTTTGTGTATCAAATTGATCGTCGATGACGAGTTCAGGGGCAACGTTAAATCAATTTTAAAATTTCGTTTTGCATAAAGAAAAAACAATTAAAAATTGACATTAGCTAGAGATAATCGATCTGCAAATTTTGATGTTGATTAATATTCGGGTGGTGTTTTCGTTTTGGCAAAAAAAAGCGTTTCCATATCAAACGATTTTCTGTTTTAGTACGAATATTCATTGATCGAAATAACTTTCGAAGCTCGCTTGTTGTTTGCTGATATGCGCTGCAAATCGTGCAATTAGTCACATAGGCTTGAATGGGTGATCATATGTGAATGTGAATTTTGGAATGTTTGATTATTGATAACAAATCAAGAAGGAAGATATTCGCAAGATAAAACTGTGGAGAATGTGGGGTTTCATTGCCGGTGTGTGTGTCTTGCACTTGGAGCGCCTTTTGTCTTTGATCATTCGAGATTTATTACAAGGGGTATATTAAAAGGTATTCGTAGAGTTTTCTTTGTTGTGGTTAATAAAAAGTTCTTAATTAGCATGCCATTAAGATATATAAATTTCAATTATGAACAGCTTGGGGATAGTGTCTAGGCAAATACCTTATAATAACAAGATAAGTAACGACAGATGCATTTTTTTAACTCTAACTCAAAGCTCTTAAAAACATTTTAGATCTGTATGCTCTTAAACGCACTTGCTTGATCAGTGTATCAACGAAGCGTCTTCTATTTTTAGATTTTTACTTAATTTAAATTTATTGGCGTTATGGCTCTTGTTATTATAAAATCTTTGCTAGAGGTTAGTAATTGTTTATATTTTTGTATAAAGCAAACTTATAACTTAACTAAGACTGTTATGGGCAACCAAAAGCGTTATGAAATGTGATCGCTTTGGGCATTAAAGTTTTTATTTTGTCTGTACAAACTTCCAGTCGATATGAGATAATAATTGTAAACTAAAAAATCAAGCGCAGCAGCTATTAACAAAAGCAGTAAATAAACCAAAGATTTTAATATAAAACAGAAACAAGCAAAACTACTTCAAAGTTAAAATCTATGGGAACTAGGTAACATAGAAAACTACCAATACTTATATACAAGGTATAAACAAAAACGATCACTTACCTCGTCCTCGCGCTTGCGCAAATCAGTTTGAACCTCTTCTAGCTCCTCCTGAGCATCGGTTGGCTTCATTTTATAGCCATCGTACAGCATTTTTAAGCCGAATATTAAAAATAATGCAGTTGAGATATAATACGTATAAATCTGTGGATAAAAAGAAGTAAAAATAAGTTTATCTAGTTTTCATTTCGATGCTCACATTTGTGTAGTCTCTTTACAGAGATTTACAGAATCCACCTTACCTTAGGAATAAAGTTAGCTGCCATGCCAAATACGCATGAGAGTACCGTCATAAGGGCCAAGGCGGCAATGGCGCCGCCAAAGACAATCAAACGCGGATGGCGCATGGCCATTATGGCAGCTATAAAGAAAGTCTTATCGCCTAGCTCTGTTAATAGGATAACAGAGATCGATGCGGTGAACGCATCGATAAAGTTTCCCTTCGATTTTGACCGTTCAGTAGCTTCCTTTTGTTTATCCGCTAAATTGCTCAGATCCGTAGGCTTGTTTAAATCCACTGGCATATCCAAGTCCTGCGGGGAAAACACTGAAGATTAACCTTTGTCGAATTAGTGGAGTGGATAAACTTACGTTCTGTATTCCAGATTGAATCACTGCATTATCATCGCCATCCGGCTGCGCTTCCGCAGCACAGATTGTGCCGAATGTGAGCACCACCATCAGGGCCAAAGCCATGTGCCATTTGGCTGAGCGCTTCAGGTATACATTGTGTCTGGTGGTTTGCCAGAAGTAGGATTGATTTTGTGACATCTCGGTGCTGTCTGTGAATGGGAACGGTTGCTCCTCTAGGCCTGCCTCATGCAACTGTTCTCTGTACTTTAAACTTTAGTGTGGTTACGTGTCCGTTACTCTCGAACGACTGCAAGTAAATGAAGAGAATTGGCTCAGAGACTCGCTCGCTCGCAAGGGGTAAATTAAACTGAACAAGGCACAATGTTTATGGTTAATCGGGCAACGCAACAAGTGTTCTCCGCGGCATTATTTGTCCGAGGCAAACAGAAAATCACCCATGTGTCTGTGTTTGGCCAAGTCAAAAAACCGGGTGGTAAGCGGCGGGGGAAGGTCGGAGCCCAGATAAGCGTCCGGCACTGCGTCAAGTGTCGTCTGATATGGTCAATCAAAGTCACTGCTCTCGGTATAGCCCAGTTGCCGAAACCTACATATTTCCCTCGATCCACCGAGATCACGTCGCATGCCCGACCGATCAATACGTCAGAGGCAAAAGCACTTTAGCTTATCGATTAGATAATGGCCAGCTAAATTATTAGGAACCACATGCTCTATTTGGAGGCTATGTTCTCTAGGTCCACATAGCCTGTATAATTAGCAAGCTGAGAGGTGCAGTGTCGCCTTCTAAATATTTGTGTTCATTTTGCTTAGATCACAGTTCGTTATCTTTGAAGTTAACCTCCTCCCAAGTTAAGTCCTCCAAGATGATATGCAAACTTAAAAGGTTGAAACAGGGGATAAGCATAATATTTATGGTACTTATTTATATTTATCAAATATGTCAGGGTATTATTCAAGACCATTTCATAATTCCTATATCAACAAACAAAGCATGAAAATACAGAAAGCTACAAATAAATGTATAATTTTTCAGGAAATATTTATTTTTAATTTGTAATAAAAAGTGAAAAGATTTGTTTTATAGGTATGCTAATGAAATTCTTATTGGTCTTATCTATTGTTAGTGTTCCTGTTCCAATGAAAGTGTTTAAAGTAGAAGTGACAATTATCAAGTAAACTTTGTATTTCAATTTAAGAACCCTGTGAGATAATGCGTTAATAACTTTTACGTGACCACAGAACCGCCAAAAGTTATTTTTTAGATGGCTACTATATCTGATAATATATTTTTTGTTGTGTGTACATGGTTATAGCTGGGGGTTTCTTTCATGTTGCGAAAAAGTAGCAAGCTTTGCGTGATTTTCCTTTTTGATTTATTTTTAAACTAATATAACTGTGGGCGGCCGTCCACGTATTGGCGATAAGCATGGACACTATACAAAAGGCAAGAATGGAAATCAGTTTACCATTGACCGAGCGTAGAAATCTAAACACCAATCAAAAGGTATTGATTTAGAAAAACGTTGGGACCTAGTTGGTTCAGAAGAAATCAGGCTTAAGATTGCTTGTGCTAAAGGTGCTATTATACCTTAATAGGAAATATGTTATACTGATACTTTCATACAAAATATGTGATTTTTAAAAATCCTGGTAGACAAATGAGCACAAAGGAGTTTAATCATCGTCTTATCATTTATCATATTTATTATTAATCAGCTTTGTTTGCAAGAGTCTGGGGTAATTTTTATGGGATGACTCTGTTGTGCTTCCCATTTGCTTATAGCAAACATCAGTATTGGCTTTCTGTTCTTGTTCTGTCAGCAATCTGTAACTATTTATTATACCCTTGGAGAAGTTGATATGATTATAGCAGAAGTTTGCGACGTAAAGTAAACCTCTCCATGATTAGAGAAATAATTAGAAAATGTTTTTTCTTTTTCTTAAATTATGGCCTTGTTGTTCAAAATATGTATTTATTATGTATACGTATTTCGAAATATGACAATTTATAATGTTTTTTAAATTTCAGAAATTTTGCCAACAATTTTCTTTATAAACAAAACACAAAGAATGGATATTGAAAAAGGTTTGTTATCATATACACATCCATGCTTCATTGATTGAATTGTTGTTTTAATAAATGAAAGGGCATATAAATTCGTCTTGCTAAAGTTAGCTTCTTTGTTTTGATTTTAAAGGTCTTCCTTTATTCAGAATCAACGTCACAGCAAGCAAAAGGGGATATTTACCCAATAAATACAAGATTATCAATAGCTTTTGAAGACGCAAAAAGAATATGGATATACAGGGCCCGCTCTCGAATGTAGTAAATTGCGAAAAATGTTAGTTCTTTATGTCATCGTCTTGTTTTAGAACATTTCAAGTACTCATACGTTCAATGATTTTGAGATTAAAATATTCCATTTATTATAAGGGTATTACTTATGATAAAAACTAAAGATAAAACTCCAAAAATGTTTAAAATAAGTTTTCGCAACTCCCATAATCATTGTTTACTTTAGCGAGCGAGGACTGTATTCGGTTAGAGATGTGCCGAGTGGCGAAAATGAGAAGCCCGCGAAAGTAGTCATTATGTAAACATATGCTGGGTCTTGGAGACCTATTCGTAATAACAGGATGTGTGTGTGGGTGAGAAGGGAACTGATAACGAAACTATTCATTTAGCGTTGAATATATAGCCAAACAGAGCCCAGCTAGAACAGCATCCGAGGCAAGTCAATAATAATTAAATAATACGTATATATACAAAATATATACATACATACATATATCCAGTTCAATTAAGTTGAATTCAAATTACAAAAAACACACAGCGTTTATTGCTCCGCAAAATAAGAGGAAAACTGGTCGAGAACAAGCAGATAAATCAATTGCCGTATATATGTATGTACATATTAATTAATGCCACGATACGTATGTTGTAATGGGTCTTGTTTTCGAATGGCATTGATTTTTATTTCCCTTCTTTTTTTCGCCAATTTCTATTTTTGTTACCCGAATCAGCAAAAACAACAAGCGAATTAACGGCATTCGGTGCGTTGCTGATCACTTTAGCTATAGATTTTTTCGCTGGATTTTCATTGAAAATTAATGGCACAAGGCCACCTGTTTGATCGTTAATTTATTTAGTTAATAGCTGTCATAATTGCATTGTTTAAATTGCGTTTGCCACTTAATTGGCTGCGGCGTTTTTCCGCCAGATCTAGCTACTTATGGGTCACAGGTGCGCATCTCTGTCAGGCAAACACTTCACCGCTGACGACAGCAAAATTGTCAATCGACTGAGAAAGAACTGTAAAGAACACGACTGACACTCGTTAGAGCCAAGCGGAGAGGCGATTTTGGTGACTAATTTGTGGTTAATTAACTTGTTATTAAATAAGCCGACTTCTCGGAGGGGGAGCACAAAAACACACGTCCTTACATTGCGAGAATCACTTTGAAAATCGTTATCGTTCTGCTCGCATCCAGTGCTGCGAAGCGTTCGACTGGTGGTAGTGCTGCAAAACGGGGCCAGTTTCGAACAGCTGTTGGCGCGCGGCCTAGAGATGAACGTTTTCAGCTTAGTAATTTTATAATTACCAAATTTTTGATAATAAAAGAAGACAATAAATAAGATTTTAAAAAATAAGATGTTTTTGAAATTGTTTTTTATTGTGTTATTTTATTTAATTGTATATTGGTATTTCGCGATAGTTGCTACCGTTAGGCACTCACGACAGGATTGCCTAGTAGGCCATCCCTAATACCCATAAAATTCCTTTTTTGTCGGACTAATTTCTGTTCAGATTTGTACTTAGACTCGCTGGGAATAATACACAAAGCAGACAAATGACAGTGCCAAGATGTCGATATCAAAATTATTCGTGAAAGTATTCAACGAGGATATATTCGAGCAGCTCGAACAGGATCCCCTGTACTCCGACTTGGACGATGACTTGGAGGCCAACTGCTCCACGGTGCCGGAAACGAAGCTTGCCAAGCTGTCGGAGCTGTCCGTGACCAAGTGGGTGTCTCCTCTAACCGCATGCTGCCTGAATATTGATAATCCTCTCCTGCAGACAGATGACCATTGTCCGAAGCTGGCTGGATGACAAGTTCCAGCAGATACAGACGGACAGTAACGAAGAGATCCGGCGCCTGTACATGGAGACGGAGAACCGCATTGGCCCGGATTTGATCATATTCGATGTAGACTATACGACCACCGTCCGGGTGTCCTCAGATCGCCTCGCCCTGCGCTCCCAGGGCAGTTTCAATACGGTTCGGGCGAATTGTTGTGTGTACGGCGGCCGATGGATGTATGAGGTAAGCACTATTAGCGGGAGTGGGAGTGGCTATGGATTTGGGAGTGCGATTGGTGGTGGCTGACCGACGGTCAATGACACGTCGTGAGGAGTGTGGGTTGCACGTGCGTACTGGGTACTCACTCATTAATATTTCCAGATCCACCTACACACCAAGGGCGTCATGCAGATTGGCTGGGCCTCCAATTCCTGCCAGTTTAACGAGAATAGTGGCGTGGGGGATACCAAGTGGAGCTATAGTTACGATGGGAGCAAGCAGCAGATCTGGCATATATCGACCAAGAAGTAAGAACTTTTTTTTCGATTTAAGTTTAAATTGTTTGTTTAAATACGGTTTTATTTGCATTATTTAATTTTGTGTTTTTTAAACTCTTTCAAAACCTATTAATGGGCACAATTTTTAGGTATGGCGACAAATGGCAGATCGGCGACGTCATTGGCGTGACCATCGATGTGGATAGGGAGCTCATCGAGTACTATCGCAATGGACGATCGATGGGCGTGGCGTTTAACAAGCTGCAAAAGGGTCCCGGCATCTCCTTCTTCGCAGCCATCTCCCTGGGCTACACGCAGGGCATTGAGGCGAACTTTGGCAACCGTCCGTTCATGTACCCAGTTGCGGGTTTCCAACCCCTGATGGCCCGACCCATCCTTAAGCTGAGAAGGGCCAATTTGCTGATGAACTACTTGGTCAACCTGGCTGGGATCTTCTCAAAGTACAATGCACAAGCGGCAGCGACGCCCCCGAGTGAAACGGAGGCCAGGGTTTCCACAAAGAAGACGGTTTACTGCATATTCGCCACTCTGCTGATTGAGAAGTTCACTTACGAAATATTCGATTCGTATATCATCGAGGATGTGCTGCTGAGCAGGATTTATGGCATGACCACTCTGGCGGCGGAGAAGGAGAATCGCCACAGTGTGCTTCAGGGTCTGCTGTCGCTGTTTTGGAACTACATGGAGGGCGACGAGATCAAGTTTGTGTTGCGCAAGCTGGTTAACGGCCTCCTCGGAACCTTTACACATACGATACAAGGCCTTAACTTTGAGAAACACCGCCAGGCGCTGGAAATGCTGCACTGCCTCTGCCTGCACGAGCAGACCCGGAAGTATCTGCTGGAGCATAAGCTCTTCAAGAAGCATTGGTAGGTCCTGCCAACTAGCCAGAGAAACCCGATCTAATTACTCCCTCTTAGCATTGCTTTTTTCCTTTACATCCACCCCCTGGAGTTCTACATTATGGAGGAGCTCCTGCCCGATAGCATGGCCTGGACGGAGGGAATCGATGGGCCCAAGGATAAGTACCTAACTGTGGTGGACAAGGTGCGCAAGGTAACGGAGCCGCTTTACGTGGCGCAAAAGGACTTGCTTTCCACACTGCTAATCAACACGGATGGCACACCGGAAAGTCCGTCCAGTCGCTCCATTTTCCTAACCAAATTGCGACGCTATGTGTTTGATCTCAGCATGGAACAAAGGGTGGGTGACGCCGACACCCTGATGATTTCATTGGAAATTAATCGAGACTGTGTCTTCCTGCAGCCCTTTCACGCATTCTTCTTCATGCAGTCGAGCATCCAGCATCCTTTGGATGCTCCAGTGGCTCTCGCCTTTGTCTGCATTCTAATTGATCAGGTCCGAACGATGTTCAAGGAAGAGATGCCCAGCAAGATCGTCGAGGTGAACAGCGATTATTTCATCGATGGCTCCCTGGATTATATGCACTTTGATCGCGTCGGAGGTGTGCTGTCCCATTTGCGCAAGGTACATCGTGGCGATATAGATGCCCGGCTCGGAGCGGATCGCACCCAGGAGATATATGATGATGATCGGCAGAATTTACGGGGTAATGAAGCGGGTATGTCTCTTGCCAATTAAGCGATTCGCATTTGGCAAAATAGAACCCAAACATATTTATATTCCCCGTATTTGTGGATATCAAATGAGCAATTTTTCATATATAGATACCACCCTTTACCTGCTGGGCGAAAACATTAACAATGTGGCTGTGGTTGGACACGCGCAGGGCGGTAATAATACTACCACATACACTCATTACCTGAATCCGCGGGCTAATGGCCCGCCCGCCGTAAGCACCACGCCGGGCAATGCAGATATGGAATCTAGTCTTTGCGAGCTTTTGGATCTCGCCATAATTTTCTACTATTCGGCGGGCCACAAGTACATTGTGAAAATCGCTTCGGTAAGGGATGAGATTGCGGCTCTGAATGAGATGCTTAAGGAGACGAAGTACTACCGCGAGGACATCGAACGCAAGCTGGTGGCTCTGGAGCAGCATGCGACTGTCTGCATGAACGAGAATCATCAGCATGTAATGGGCGAGCTGCGTTCCAAGTTCAGTCAGCGCCAGAATGTGTTTGCGGTGAGTTGGAACATTTAAGTGGAGAATATCACAAGATTTTAAGGATTTGGTATTGGGAAATATATATTTTACACTTTAAAAGAATTTGTTTTGCGGGCTATCCTTGTAGCTGATTCAGAGTACTTTATAATTTACAGTTAGCCATTTGATTTCAAATGAATACATTTAAAATTAGTGTTGCTTTTGCAACAGTAAAGACTCAATATTCAATGAAGCAAACCCTTTTATTTGTAGACTCGCTCAATATCCCTGTCCAGAAAACAAATATGGCTTAGAGGCGTTGCACTAAACGGCCACAGAAGATCTCTGCTCATCTGGCTACTAGAGCGCATGCTGCGAACGCTGACGGTGAGCTTATCTTTATCAAGTTTTATTTTAATTTACTGAACAATATACTGTTTGCAGAGTGCTTCCAGCACCGGCTCCTTGTTCTCCTTCGTACCTGAGGTCTATGTGAATACATTGCCCATACTGCTGGACGCCGTAATGGACTTTAGCCACCATGATTTGAGGACCCAGTTCGAGGCCTCAGACGCCGAGTGCGGTGTCAATTCCGCCGCAGAGTTTCTGGGCCAACACTCAGCAGATCCGCGCATTGTGCTCGCCTCCTGTAAGGACTCACTGCTGCAGGCCTTGGGAACACTCACCTGCCATAAGTCGGGGGTAAGGGCGCTAGAAAGGACCTCAAAGAGGGCACAGAACGCCCTGGTTCGAGCTCTATTGCGTCCCTATGAGAACAGAGCTTGGGGTCAGAGCAACTGGCTGCTGTTGCGCTTTTGGATGGGCGAGGGATATGCTTATAAGGATTCACGACTGCCTTCCGTGTGGCAAGGTGGATCGGTACCATTGCACCAGGGACTATGTCGGAGTCGCTCCAAGAACGAGACCCACACTGGATTGCTGCACAATGTGGCCCCGGCTAATCCCTCGAAGCACTTTCAGCGTCTTATTGGTGCCCGGCTGGTGGAGGACGAGCCCTTCGCCACTGCTTTCCTCAATTCAGTGCTAAGTCAGCTGAACTGGGCTTTCTCCGAGTTCATTTTGCTGCTTCAAGAGGTACTTTTATTTACCAGACTTACCAAGCTAAAGGTAATTCAACCGATTTTATTTTCGCAGATCCAGAACACCGCTCAGCGGCAGGAGAACACTCTTTTTGAGCCCAAACAGCTGAGGATTTGCTCCATGTGCTTTGAGCTGACGGTCTCGCTGATGCGGTGCCTCGAGATGATTATCACAGTGGCACCGGAAGTAGTAACGGACGACTCTCGTCCAAACAGCGATCTTTTGCTGAATCGCATCTGCCAGCTTATAAGTCAGGTTCTTTCCCGTGTAACAGTGCCGCCGGGTTGCTTCCAGTTTGTGGTGGACATGTGCTCGGCAGATCTGAATGCCGTGACTCACTATCCAATTATCACTGCCGCTTTGGGAATCCTTTTAGCTCTGATGCAGGAGGAGCTGGAGAACGAAATGACGCCTCAGATTGTGACGAGGGTATCGCGGGCCTTCCTTACCGATCCCAGCTTCCAGTTTGCCACTCTGGAGTTTGCCTTGGGCGAGATACGAACCCCTCTGCTGGAGCAGAAGAACATTCCCCGAGGCAACTTTGATCCCTCCGCCAGGCCACACATCGATCCGCTGACGAACGATGTGAGGGTGCCGTTACCGAACAATTCCAAGCGCATTCGGGCAGATCCACCTATCCTGAAGTTTGCCCTGAATGACTGTGAGTATATGTCAGCGATTTGGAAATAATAACTTATAATTTATTCATCTTTTTTCCAGTTCCTTCCCATGTGTCCACCGTGGAAGTGGACAATGTGCGCCGCCTAATCGAGAGTCTGCGCGTCAAACAGACCCTGCTCTCGGACATAACACTGCCATCGGAGGACTCGCTGTGCCCGATCTGCTGCGCCAAGCCAATCACCGCAGTGTTCACGCCCTGCCGGCACCAGTCCTGCAGCGACTGCATTATGCAGCACATGATGAACTCCAAGGTGTGCTTCTACTGCAAGACCACCATCCAGACCATCGAGACGCTTGATGGCACGCTCATCTACTCTAGCGACGAGGTCGTTCCATCGCCCGTGCCCGAAAGGGCCTAAGTAAGGGCCAACGCATCCCACCGAATGCGATCGAGGGGAATGTTTCCTCGAGACCACAACCAAGTCTAGTCACTACGCTTGCTGTGTGTATATATATTCGTATATATCGTATTGTTTCGTCAATTTTATTTAAGTTTTATGCATGCTTGCCATAATTATTAGTTCAGATGTGATATATGCCAAAGATGCAATGTTAAGGAGTGGAAAGAAAGGCACTAGCAGAAATTAAATACGAGACAGATTTCAAATTGCAAATAAATTAAGTAGCACAATGTTTGAATCTACCTCCCACTCCCTTTTTGCCTCTAAACCGTTTTGCCACATTAAGTTGCTAATTCTGTTGTTTATATATTCAGCTTCAACTGCCGAATCTGCATTTAGTTTATGTGGGCTCACGGGCCTTAAAATTCAACACCGTACATGCATTTATTTACGAAAACAAAACCAAAATGGTCTTGATCTCAATGTTAACATGGTATTTAAATCTTTAATCAGGAATCTATAAATAATAAAAAATTGTTTCAGTTTTAAAAGAGCAAGAAAATAAAATAATTATTAACATTATTATTATTTTTTTATGGTTTTCTAAATGTGACAAGCACAAAGAATTAATGGAATGGCTTTATGAAATTAAGGTTTTATTCAAGGAAGCTCAACCATGTTGTTCCTTGTTAGATATTTATTTTATTGGTAAGTATTTTTTACGATCGGAAAATTAACCTTAAATATCAAATTGTGGATGTATTTAAAGCGGAATAATAAAATAATAAAGTATTATATATTTTAGATTTAAAGGCTCTAAAGTCACTTTGATTTTTTCAAAAGCAGACGAGTTCAAGAGAAAGGTAAAGCACCAAATTTAAAATTTGTTTGAGCAAGTTTCCCTAGATTTTAATTTAGTTTATTATTTATTTTTGATCTTTAGTTAACTGATCCGATTTTCCAGCTTTTATTATATGAAGGCTTTAAGAGACACATTTAAACTTTTTAGAATTAAAGAAATATGGTTGGACCCTTAGTTGTTTCTGAATTCCATTGGTAACATTTATTTAATATAGGCGTGTCCACATAAAATCTATTTCTTAAACATTTAGCTACTACAAATATATAGAATTTTATATAATACATATGTATATGTAGGTATAATAAGTTTAGTATATTTTGTGAGCAAACTCTGCCTCAGGTGGTTTCATGAAGGTTTATGGATAATCCATCGACTTTTTTATATAGTGCCTGTCTTTGTTTTTGTAGTTTCGTTCCCGTTTCTGTATTGTCATATTAGAGGTCAATAAATTTTGAAATCTTTTGATTAATGTACACATCTATTTTTGTATGTTAATAAACACAGTTTATACAGTTCTTAGCATCTGTAGACATCGAGCGTTCAAATTTTAAAGCCCTGCTTGACTAGCTATAGTTTTTGTTAAAACATACATATTTATTTAGGTACTGTATCTTTATCTATGCTTTACACTATGAGATTCAACAACTAACTAATTCCTAATAATTGCTGTCTAGTTATCATCACTACACCAAAGCACACGGAACATTGAGCAGAGAATCGGTATACATGATATGGATTTGGATGTGTTGATTTTGCGCTTTAAGATCTGCTCGAGGAATGCCCTCTCTACAGAATGCGACACGCGTTCGAGTGCATCCGGTGCGAGTGGCGTCCATTTCCGTGGCCAAAGCCACTGCAGCACTGATGGGTGATTCCCCCTCGGGGAGAGTGCTGGAAACTCTGGCTGTTGTTCAGCTTAGGTTCCAAGTGGTGGCAACTGGGCGCATGACTGTGACTGCAATAGGTAGGATTTTATTAAGAAAGGACATATAAATATCAAAGTACAACGCACCCATGACTACAGATACTGGAGTCGGAAATGGAGCTGGGCATCAGCCTTTGCTGCTGTTGCGGCGGTGGCGGTGGCAGGAAGAGCGGACAGCCACCGGCGGCCAGGTCGCCACCACCTCCTCGGTCATGGCCAAAGATGGCCATTCGCATGTTGGCCGCTTTTGCCGCCGACTGGGACTCTACTTCGTGCACCTCCTCGATCATCTTGTCCAGCTTCTCCATGGCCTTGGTCTGTTTGGCAGCCAGGAAGGCCTTTCGCGCTGCCTTAGACATGGAATGGGGCCTACAAAAAAAGAGGGTATATGAAGCATTCTAAAAAGTGACAAACAACTGGGGAACTCACCTGGCAGGAGCCGAGAGCGATCGGTGTGGAGGGGGTGAGTGCAGTGAAATGGACGACACCGAATCCTTTGATCCTGGCCGGTTGGTATTACCCTTACTGGTACTGGCCTGCTGCACCACGGGCACCACTGGTTGCTTCGGGGGAGGCGGCGACTTGGATCTCATGGGACACACAACGGCAGCCGTGGCGTTGTGCGTGGTGGCATCCAGACTGCTGCTGGAAAAGGTGATTTTCCTAATGAGCGTGGAGCTGGCTGCTGGTCTTGCCGCCGAAAAACTTACTTGAGCTTTGCTGCCTTCTCGCGATCTATGGACGCACTGCTGCAGGTGGCCGTTTCCCTGGCCGGAGCCGTTGACGGAGGCGTCAGCTGATCCATTGCGGCCAGTTCCTCTGGCGTGAATTTATCCGGATTACTGGGCCTCGGCTTGGGGGGTGCACTGCCGATCCGAAAGGGCGGCGTAGGACTGAAGCCACATTCGGGCGGATGGTTGTTGTTATTGTTTGACAGCGAGCTCCTGGAGATCTGCAAGTCCTCGAGAAACTCCTCGGTGTCCAGGATAAGGGAGCCGAAAATGTCGGAAGGTGAGCGCATAAACACATGTCCCGTGGAGTTGGAGCGGGACTCGCGTCGTTTCTCCTGGTCCGGATAGGCATACCCGGCACTGCACCTAACCGGGGAATTGGCGATGCTGCGACGAGCCACGTCCTTAAAGGTCACAGGCGAGTAGATGCGAGTGTTGCGGTCATCTGGCACGGCTGCTGCTGTTGCCGAGTTCCCTGCTCCTCCTGATATTCCAGGAACCCCAGATTCGGAACCTCCCGCTGCAGCCAGCACACCAGAACCCCCAGCTGAAGCAGCTGAAGATGCCGCGCCTCCTGAAAGGCCTGCTGCAACCACCGTTTGGTGGTGCAGAGTCATGTGAGCTGCAGCAGCTGCTGTTAGGACCATGCCCGACATGGTGGTTGTCGGAGCAATCACATCCACTGACGGAACGGCGGCGGGTTGGATTGCAGCTGCCGCCGGAATTTTGGGAGTGACTGGCTTCGGGATCGGCGGCATGATGGCCTTTGGAGCGGGTGTCACTGGAGCTGGAGAGATGGGGTGCACCTGTAGGGCAGCGGTGAGTTGAAGGGGCAGTCGGTTCTCGCGCTCCTCCAGCCAGTACGTGGCCATGGTGCCCTTGCCCTTCACATCGATTTCGCCCCGTTCGAGGATCTTGTAGGTGGGACCAATCAGAATCTTCGTCGACTCTGAGATATGCACTTTCATGGCGATGCTGGTGGATTCCATGCGCGATGCAGTGTTAACTGTATCGCCAAATAGGCAATAGCGTGGCATTTTTAGACCCACAATTCCGGCCACCACGGCACCCGAGTGCACGCCCACACCTAGAAGGGATAATGCCATTGTTTTTAATAACATAATTTACACACCAAGATTAACACTCACGTATCCTCAAGTGCTGTCCCGTGGAGGGATCCTTGAGATCAGTTATTGCGTCCACCATGTCCAGGGCCATATCACAGACTCGCTCGGCGTGGTTGGCGTCCTTGTCGGGAGCACCCGCCACCACCATGTAGGCGTCGCCAATTGTCTCCACCTTGTACACGGAGTTTCGCTCCGTTAGCTTGTCAAAGATCGAGTACATGGCGTTCAGCATGGACACCACTTCCATCGGCGTGATGCGGCTGCATATCTCGGTGAAAGTCACGATGTCCGAGAACAGAATGGAGACACTATCGAACATCTGCAAGGGGAGTATGGAGATTGGATCCGGCTATCCCTGGTATCCTGTTGACCAGACTCACCTCACAGGTGTCGATGGGATTCTCGCCTCGTCTCAGTCGATCTGCTACCTGCTTGGGTATCATCTGGTAGAGCAGCTCATCAGTACGTCGCATCTCCTCATCCAACTGCGCGAGACATTAAGACAAATATCAATAAAGATTCTTCTATATGTTCACAGGAATTCTAACCAGTCTCATGGACTCCTCCAGCTTCTTGGATTTCTGCTGCTCTTGATCGAGAGCCAACTTCAGTTCCACCGACTGTTGGGTTCCCGCCAGCATAAGATCTCTGCTGAAGTCGTGCATGGACAGATCGTTGATGTAGAGGCCAGTTGTTATCAGCGAAGTTAAGTCGGGCATTACGGGAGTGCCCAGAAACATGATCATGCGCCAGTTTTCCATATATACCATTTGACCTGGCCAAAAAGTATTTTACAGGTCATAAAATTTTAAGTAATTAGCCCAAGAAAGTAAAAGTAAATATATAAAATTAAATGTTGTACCTGAAGGATAGCTTGGTAAACAAGATTTATTTTATACAAAACTTAGTTCAAAATTATGTTTCCTAATTTAAAAATTAAGTGCTTTTTGTTTTACCTTTCAGCCTAAGTGACTTCTCCGGCTCACTACCATCGTCATGCAGTAGTAGATCCTCATTTTGGACGTCAATTCTCTCCGTAACTGGATCCACCGTGACCAATTCGAATATGTTATTGGTTCGATTGAGTATCTGGCCGTGAAAATTTGTTAATGGTTTTGATTTACTTAGTTGTATCACGCACTCACAGTCTGGAACTTGAAGGCAATCAGCGGTCGAACCAGATCAAACCAGGCTGTGATTTTCTTGCCCAAGAGTTCCGGCAATATAACCATCAACGAGTTTCCAATGCTGCGCACTATCATGTCAGCTCTGGATTATAAACAATTGAAAGGAATAGCAATATTCACAGATATTTAGATTTGATTTAATTTCATATTTTAAATATATTTTCATATAACCCACCCAAACACCATGCAGAATGGAAAGATCTCAAAAAGCACATGGGCACTGATGGGCAGATGCTTCTCCTCCCTCGTCATCGCCAGGGAAGCCAAGGTAAAGGCCCTATTATCGAAGGTGAGCTGGAAGGTAACGTGGACCGTGTCGAAGAGGATTTCCTCCCGCACCAGCTCGATGTGCATCTCCTTATGGTAGAAGTAGCGCGCCACCTCCCGAATCTGCCCCATCGTGTAGTAGACGAATCCTCGACGCTTGGAGCGATAGTGCAGGGTCAATCCCTGCTTCGTCTCGTTCTCGCAGATGAAGCTGGGAGCACGCATCCGCGGATACGAGAACTTCAG